CTTCTCTTTTCACTCATTGGGGCCACCATTGCCTCTTTTTTTTATACAGGCATCAATGTATATGTAATTGTATATATATATATATAAATTATATATATGGAATCCCTTTAAAGATGGGTTTGGAACCACTACCTGTTAGGAGGAAATTAGACGAAGGCAAAGCCTATTTCCGAGCTATGCTAGTTAGTAAGGACGGCTGCCATGGGGCCGTCTGTGGCCCGGATGCCTTCGGGAGGAAGACAGAGAAAGTGCTGATTTTTTCCTCTCTCAGCTTTTTTCCCTTAGACCTGAGACTCTCAACTGCTATTCTTGTTGAAGATTTGGGACTTTGTAGGATGTCTGTGGGTCATCTTTGCTGTCTGGTGTCCTGGAGGGTGGAGGTCATCATTTGCACCTGGGTCTTCATATGGGTACTGCCAGGTCTCTGAGCTCCAGTGATTGCCTCTGTACAGACGGACTACACAGGAATAAAAGACATTCTGCCATTCTGCCTTGCAGAGTGGCACCTGTCACCAAGCCCCAAACTGTGTGGTGAGGGAAGACTATGGAAGCTGTTAAATTTTTGGTCTTGGGAAAAGGTGAAATGACAAGTTGCTGATTGTTATTTCTTGCATTTTTGTAGTGGATCAGAAAGACTTAGCTGAGGACATATATGGGAAGAATAGAGATATTTGCCACGTGCTCATTGCAGATTGGCATCTTTTAAGCCCTGCATTCCTCAGAACAGCAAGGGGGTGTGAGTGTAGGTGACAGCACCCCCCCAATGTGGTTATGATGAGCCAGGCCTTCCTATTGTTTAATCAGATTAATTGTAGTTTGGCCAGATATTTGACCTAGGCAGTGACGTATTTAGTTAATAAGATAAGCCAGCTTGGCCACTAAGTACCTAACATTTACAAGCCCACTCACTTTTGATGCAGGGATGGGTGAGTACGTGGAGAGATGTAGTGATTTAAATCCAGATTATTTAACTTGGATCAGCTGAAGTGTTTTATAACCAAACCATCTGTCCTGTTCATTTTGCTCAGGGGAAGTAGATGCTCATTTAAATGGAATTGGAAAGGCCTGAAAAAGCTCTCAATTCTTTCTCCATGCGGCCCTGAAGATCACTTCCTGAGGCGGGTGATGCTAGGCGGAGGGGTGGGCTTCCCTGAGCGAACACTACTGGTGCCTCCCATCAGTGAAAGCATTTTTTTTTTTTTAGTTTGCTTCCTTAATTGTATAATTATTTATTTGTAAATTATATACATGTACTACTGTACTAAAAGACTATGTACATTACAAAACATACACCAAAATAGAAATTTTAAAAAAAAGATGAGATGAAAATAAATCTACATCAAAGTTCTACTATTTTTTCCCCGTTCTAATGGACTGTCCTGTCCTCTCCCCACCTCCCCTCATTTTTCTTGGGCTATCCAAACTCTGCTCCTAGACAGATGCAGTGTATGGTCTTGGACAGTGGGGGGTGGGGTTAAGGGACTCCGGAGGGGCTGACCGTGGTTGACTGTCTCCTGTGCCTTTATCCTCTTATTCAGTGAGTTCAATGATGTCCCTCATACCATGCTGGATGCTGGGGACAGTGGTGAGAAGCAAACCAGCTCCTTGTCCTATGGGGCTCATAGTTTAATGGGGTGGGGAGAGAGGGACAGGCAGTTAGCATTGCTCTTTAGGACTTGGAGTGGGACTATGGAAAGAACCCAAGAAACCTCCTTCTAGAGAGAAGGAGGAATTTGGAAACTGAGGTGAAACCGACCCAGGAAGCTACCCAAATGTCCTAAGTGTTCCAGAGGAGACGGTATGGAAGGGAAATGGATTACCTGGACTATAATGCTTCTTGAAAGGCCATCGTCAAGGGTCCCAAGGTGGAAATTAGGGAGGCAGAGTTGAATTTGATTTCAGGTCCCAACCATACCCACATATTGAATGGTGGGTGGTGTGAGAGACCCAGGGAATTATATTAGGGTCTAAGCTTCAGACTCTTTGTGGTATGACTGATATGTTAGAATCCAGAGCGGATAATGAAGGTACTGAGTAGGTCAAGGTCATTGGGGATCATATAGAGATTGGTGGGTTCAGATGAGTGGTAGAGGAAGTTTCTTTTATCTTTTTTCCTCCCTCCCTCGTTTCCTTTCCTTCCTTTCTTTCTGCCTGCCTCCCTCTTTCCCTCCCTCCCTTCCTCCTTCCCTCCCTTCCTCCTTCCCTTCCTCCTTCCCTCCTTCCCTCTTTCCCTCCTTCCTTCCTTCCCTCTTTCCTTCCTTTCTGCCTGCCTTCCTTCCTTCCTTCCTTCCCTCCCTCCCTCCCTCCCTCTGTCTCTCTCTCTCTCTTTCTTTCTTTTCTTTTTGTGCTGGCACTGGGACTTGAACTTAGGACCTTACATTCAGCTTTTTTGCTCAATGCACTCTTACCACATGAGCCATACCTCCCCCTCTTGCTTTTTGCTAGTTAATTGGAGGTAAGAGTCTTGTGATGTTGCTGCCCCTCCTGGCTTCAAACCATGATCCTAAGATTCCAGCCTTAAACAGCTAGGATTATAGGCAGTAGAGATGGTTTCTGACTGAAAATATAGAAGGCAACTTAGAAGAATCACAGGAGGAAAATAAGCTGGATCAATGGGTTAGCTAAGGGATTGTGTGGAGTTGTTTTGGTATCTCATCAATGTCAAGGGTCACAAGGAAAGATTTCTGGCCCTTAGAATATTTCAAAGCCAGCAGCAAACTCAGAGACCATAGAAGGTTCTGGAAGAGGCCAGTGATCTACAAGTTTTCACAGTGTTCAGCTCACTCCTTTTCCTGTTTCTTTGTAAAGAGTGCTTCTCCCAGTGCCCCATAATGAATACAACGACATGAGTTCTTAACTTTGCTCCATCACCTCCCTCCCATCCACTTATAGATACACTGAATCATTTAAGGGTACAAGTCTTAGCAGACTGTCAACATTGCCATCAAGGTGACCACCTATTAAGTATCTCACAGGAGCATGCCCAGGTTTGTTGTCCATAATCTCCATACAGCCCTCTGATGTAGGCATTTGCATCAAAGTATGTGGAGGAGATTTTTGCCAAAAGAAATCACACAGTGAGGGGCAGAGCTGGCATTTGAACTCAGGCCTTTGCTACTGGTGCCTAAGCTCTCTCAAGTCTGAACCTCTTTCTCCCTCTCATCTTTAGATCTCTGACTATACCATCCCCAGGGCATTCGTGCTTGTGCACACGCAGGTACCCAGGTGTGCATGGCCTCCCTAGATCTTGGTGTTCTGCCTGGAACCTCCTGGTTCCTGGTGCTGGGCATTGATTTAATAAATTAGTTGATGAGGCAAAAGCCCCCCTCCCTTTTTATGTCAGTCCTGGGGCTTGAACTCAGGGCCTGAGCACTGTCCCTGAGCTGCTTTTGCTCAAGGCTAGCGCTCTACCACTTGAGCCACAACACCACATCTGGCCTTTTCTGTTTACGTGGTACTGAGTAATCGAACCTAGTGCTTCATGCATGCTAGGCAAGCACTACCACTAAGCAACATTCCCAGCCTGGAAAGCTGCCTTAACTCTGGGTCTGTCTGCTCTCTCCATACCTGAAACCATGGATCTTCATGGCTGCGGGTTTAGACAGGCCTGGCACTAAGGGGTTATAAAGTTGGGGAAAGAGCAATAGCCCGTGGGCCTGTGCGCTGCAGCTGTTGTGGTCCTCCTGGCATCCAGGGTACCCATTATGCTACCTTGCATGTCCAGACTTTACCCAGGATGAGGCTGAGGCCCCAAGGGTCATCAGCTGCCCCTGTGCCAATCCCACAATCCATCCTTCCTCACCCACCTGGGCCGGAAACTGGGGCCTCAGCCCAAGCCTGTAGCTCTAGGACAGGAACTGGGCTAGAGTTTGAAGTACAGCAATTTTTATCAGTTCCCTGGCCAGGTTCCCCAGCAGCTAGAAGGAGCACCTTACAAATGTTTTTGGAAAAGGGAGGAGGGAGCTCCCTGGGAGCCAAGGAGACTGGAGAGAGGGCCATTTCCTCCTGGCTCTGTTCTCCTGGTTCTTCTGTCCAGCCTCCATCCCAACACCCATCCACTTCACCACAGGTCCTCCTGTCTCCCTCCTTACCTAGGGCCAGGCGCACACACAGTCAAACAGGAGTTATTTCTGATTTTATTTATAATATAAAAATGTTCAAGTGTCAACAGTCAGGTGTTCGGACATTTCAGGGCAGAGTTCCCGTTTGTTTTTGTTTGGGATATATAGGTTTTTTTTTTTTTTTAACAATTGCCTTTTTTTTGTGACAAATTAGCATTGGATCCAGTTTTGGGGATGGGAAGGGGAAGGTTGGAGAGGGAGTGAAGTCATAGGTGGCCTGGGGGGTTGCAGGTGGGCTGTGAGAAGGAAATGGTGTTACTTTATTGCTAAAAGGGGGATCGAATACACTGTCCAGTGGCTCTTCTCGGTCCCAGCGTGACCATGCATCCAATCTAAAGAATCTGAAATGCAAAGGACATGCAGGCATAAAATAGAAAAGACGACCTGTAACTGTAAACGAAGGTGCTGCAGAGGACAGAGGGCGTCCTGGAGGCCGTAGGGGAGGAGGAGCCATAAACATTGGGCCCCTGGTAGAGCTGCCCCCTCCCTGGGCTGGGGCTGGTGGGGAGACCTTTTTCTCCGTGCTCCTCCCTTAGCAGCTGTGAGGGACAAGGAGGGTCTCTCCTCCTTCTGGTTGCTATGGGGAAGTCGTTTGCCTCCCCACTTCTCCCTGCCTGAAGTTACCTAAGCTCCCAAATCTGGCCCTAAGCCTAGGATCCTGCCTTTCCACTCCAGGTAAGGGCCAAGGACACCAGGTCTGGCCCAGGGACAAAGCTACACCTGCCATCATTTTCTTCCTCCCCAGCACCCTCGGCCTGACAAGAAGGGCCCCCTCCCGCCCCCCCACCCCCACCAACCCCGGCTCTTCTTTGCCATTCCCCATCCCTACCAGTTCAGGATCCCGCAGACCACCCCCACCCCCCAACACACCCTGCAACCCAGTGTCTCTCCAGGAGCCCCAGATTAGCGTTACAGCAAAAGGCACCACAATATAGGTTTCTATTAAAGAGTCAAAAAATTGGCCCATCTCTCTTTTTTTTTTTTGTTGTTTCTTTTTTTTTTTTCCCGAAGCTGTAAATCAGGATGTTACATATAAATAGTTTCCCTATAAAAACGTCTTTGCCGTTAGCTATTATAAGACAATTTTTGCTAAAATGAAAATAAAACATTTTGTTATACTTTTTTTTCCTTTTATAGAAAATAAAAATATTTTTATTTCCCCCCCTCCTCTCTCCAATCGGCAGTCTCTGTTCTCCTTGAAGACAGCGGGGCGGGCGAGGCGGAGGGGGCCCTAGAGGGGCGCTGAGTCCTGCTTGGCCCGCGGGGACGGCCCGCGGCTGTGTCTGCTGCTGGCCCGCGTGCTGTGGCTGTCCAGGGAGTAGTAAGTCCTGCTGTCGGCCGCCGGGCACAGCGGCGGCGAGTCCGAGCGCAGCGCGTCGTGCGCCGCGCGCAGCCCGAGGAACGGCGTGCTCTCGGCCGCCAGCGCCCCGTCCGCGTCGTCCGCGTCGTCGTCCGAGGCGGAGGCCGAGCCGCAGCCCGAGCCGCTGCTCAGCGACAGCGAGTCCCGCGCCGCGCGTGCGCGCTGCGCCGCTAGCCCGTTAAGCCGCGAGCGGCGCCAGCGCCGGGGCCCCGCCGACGTCCTGCGGGACGTGCCGCGCGCGCGCGGCCGCGGCGGCGGCGGGGGCGCGCACTCCTGCGTGGTCTCATACTCGTCGTCCTCCGGGATGCGAAAAGGGCTGGCGGGCAGGCTGCCCAGGCTGCCTCCGAGCGCGCACGCTCCGCGCCGCGGCCCGGGCCCCGCCGCGGGGTAGTAGTAGCTGTCGTAGCTGCGCTGCATGTCTGCGCCAGGTCCTGGTCCCGGCCCGGGGCCCGGGGGCGCTGGGTGCCGCAGAAGCGGCTGCTGCTCCGCCAGGCGGTAGCTGATGGGCGCGGCGGGCGGCAGCGACACGGCGTGCGCGGAGTTGGGAGACGTGATCTCGAACGTGGGCACCTGCGTGGCCAGCGAGTAGTGGAAGTCCACGGGCGAGAGGCGCGCGGGCGTGGTCAGGGCGGACACGTACCTGCGGGGAGAGGCGGGAGGCGTGGGTCAGGGCGGGGGAGGGGGCGGGGGAGATCCCTACCGCAAAGAAACTTCTTTTTGAGGGACCCTGTCCTCTGGAGTGGTGCGGTAACTCTGACCTGGAGCCATTCCCTTCATCCCGCCCCGCTTGTATTCTTATGTTAGTGGGGAATAAGCGTGGGGTTCACTGCAGTGCCAAGTTGGGACCCTTCCAGGAAGGTATCAGGACCACACCACGTGTCCTACCCCCCACCCGACATGATCTTTTGCCGGGGGGGGGGGGCGGCGGGTGATGCTCATAGTGCGGTCATTATGCACAGGAGACTGGCTAGGAACATCTAAACGCCTTACTCAAAGTTCATGTATGACCAGGAGGTGTCAGAACTGGTGTTTGAACCCAGACCAGGAAGAACCAGGATGCAGACACCCAATTCCTAAAGCCAGTAGCTTCATTCAGATAACCTGTCACTTGGACTCACTGCCTCTGCAAGCACAGCCCATTCATGGCCTGATGGCTTCAGTGAGGGAGGCATTCCTTTTTATACTGTAGCCAAGAGCTGCTTCAGGAAAGTGACCATTTACATCAAGGGAAGTGTCTTCATTAGGACAGGGGCCACCAACTTCCATGCTTTTCTTCCAGACTGAAGGGGCAGATTTAGTCCACCCCAAGAACCTGTTACATTCTGAATCAACTAACTCCCCCCCCCCCCCCCCATCCACACGTGGATCTAACTACTGAATCCTACTTATTCCCCCTCTCCTGGGATACGTCTTCATGCTATTGTGCACTGCTATAGAGCCTCTCCTTCACTCCACAAAGTGTATGCCGTTTCAAGAACTTTTTTTTTTAAACTGGCGTTTGAACTCAGGACCTCATTCTTACTAGGCAGGTGCTCTACACTTGAGGCATGCCCCTAAGCCTTTTTTGCTTTAACTATTTTTCAGATAGGGGCTTGCATTTTTTTTTTCCCCAAGGCTGACTTCAAACCAAGATCCTCCCAAGTAGTTGGGATTATAAGCAAGAACCATTGCTTCTGGTCTCCAGAGTATGTTTTCAAGTTGCAGCACTACTCAGGAGTCCCTTGATCCTTACCCACCCAGTCCTTACCACCCACCCAATTCTTACCACCCACCCCGATCCATACCACCTTCCCAGACTGTTTGGGCCCAGTGCCACTGCTCCTTCTGGTCTCTCCTGCTCCTGGCACCTCACTCAGCTGCCATTGTCTTAAGTGCTTATGTTGGAACAGCTCCATTAGTTCATCACGTCTGTAGGCTTTCCTATAGTGAGAGTAACTCTCACTTTCCTACCACTCAAAGGGAACTTTGTGCTGGAGTCATGATTGATGCCAGCAGGGGGAGACATGAGCTCTGCACATATGTTCTCAGGTGGCCTTCACTGAACCATGAGTCTGGTTATTGTTCACCTTGATGTACTGAAGGAACAAAGTTCAAGGTAAGTAACCTGCTCCAGATCACATAAGTGTGGAATGGTCTTTGAAAGGTTGGTTTTAATCGCCTCCTGAAACTGGTAGTCAGTCTGTGTTTTTCTGTCTCTGGGTCTTCTCTCGTGCTTTGCTTTTTCCATAGGCAACTGTGACTTCTGGCTTGTCTCCAGGCTGTCTCCTCGGGAGCAGGAGCTCCTAGGGCCATTGCTGGCTCCCAGTCAAGCCTCTCCAGGCCTCACCCAGAGTAGGCTGAGAGGAAAGGAGCAAAGTTTTCTCCTTCTCTCCAGTCTAGAGCTCCTCCTATGGTGCACCTTCCTTTGCTTTCCTCCCCGAGGCTGAGGGGCCACTGGAGGGCTAAGCAGAGTGGGAGGCTAGTCACCATGACTCCTAACTTGGAGTCAGGGAAGAAGGGGCTTTCTTGGTTTCTTACTGCATCTGTTGCTTAGGAGCCTGACAACAACTTGAATACTGGGACCTTAATGCTGGTGCTGCCAGGGCCTGTGATCAGTGATCACTCTTGACTCATACCTTTTCTGTCTAGTCAGGAATATTGAGAACAAACTTCTGTCCCACCCTCTAAGCTACTTGGTCTTGGTGTCTTTCTGTCTCTGCTGGGATGTGGGCTCCCTGGTGCACTGGGCCAGGGCCCCCATAGGTCCAGGTTACCTAGAACAGCACTCATGTCTAATATTTCAGTGCAATTATTCATATCCTCTTTTGTTCTGAAAAGTGTCCAAGTAGAACAAGTAGATTAGGTGATTACTTCATGCCAGGTCCACTGGCCTAGCTGTAATCCCAGTCCCAATAGACCGTTTAGCCTTTCTGGGACCTTGTTTGACCACTTGGACAAGAAGAAGATGCTATTTGCAGTACCTTTGAGGGGACCTGAGGGTCCCCTTGGGTCAGTAGCACCAGCTTTCTGGTAGAGCCCAGGTCAGGGGGTAGGAACTGACCTCTCGCTGTGTGGGGAGTCACGCAGGGAATCTATGGAGTCGTGGTAGGGTGGCATGGCAGCCCTGCGCCGCTCCTCCAGGCTGTAGGCTGCTGCCCGCCGGGCCCGGGCCTCCACACATGCTGGGCTGTTGCACTTGCTGGTGCCCACGGACGATAGCATGATGCCTGACTGGGAGTCAGAGGTCAGGCTCTCAGAACGTTCCAGGCTCCATGTGTGGCTCTCATGTCTGGGAGAAAGTCAGATGGGGGAGGGTAAGGCAAAGGTTCAGAAAAGGGACAAGATGTGGTCCTATGGCCACCAGTTCCCTGGTTCTTCATTCTATCTGTGGCTCCTCTAGTCATTGTCTTCTGGTGTAGAGTATCCCAAATGTCCAACTCCCATGTAAGGAGGACTGGAGTCCCCCCAAGGTGTGAACTGTAACATGCAGAGAGCTCCCCTTCCGCACCTGGATTCTTCTACCCTGCAGTTCTTAGTCACCTAGCTCGGCAGCCCAGCTCTAGGGGTCCCAACTTTTCTATAGTGCTCTCCAGGGAAGGAGGGTCCAACCATGTTATCTATAGGCTGTGTGGATGGGCCATACTGGTTCTGGTGAGAAGACCATGCAAACTGTGTATGATTTGTATGGCAAACTCAGGAGAGAGTGTCAGATAGCTGTGGGGTATTGAATGAGATAAAGTACTGGAGTCTACAAGGTCCTGTAGGCTTTGGTGCTGCCCACCTGTGGCTGGAGGTGGGAGTGGCTGAGGAGCAGTGGTGAGAAGGAGAACAGGAGTGGCTCCCGGAGAAGGTGGTCTCAGTTTCCCTTCGGATGACATGGTCGGTGGCTGGCACATTCTTGGAGATGTACTGGGACAGACAAAGAGTTGGGGGAGTTAGTGATGGGGACCGAGTTGACATTCTTTCTGGTTAGGGACAGACATGTACTGAGTGCTGAGTAGGGGTGATCCACTGGATGAGATAGGTTTGGTGATGGATTAGTAATGATGGACCCAGCCATTCCACCCATCACTCTTCCTTATGGCAGGGGGCAAAGAAGATGCCAGAGAAGGCCAGCTGTCTAGTGAGAGCTCTGAGGGGGTCTGGCAACACCACTCACATCTGCCATCTGGATCTCTTCGGGGTCCAGCCGAGGATGGCTAGGCCCATTGGCCAAGCTCCGGTTCTGGTGTGCTGGGCACATGTTCTGGCGGAGGTGGTTGTGCATCTGCTTGCGCTGTTTTCTATACAGGGGGAAAGATGGGTGAGCCTGGCACCTTCCCTCTCAGAGCATGAACTTCCCAGGGGACCTAGGGTGAGGGAATGCTTTCTAGCTGTGCTACTCTGGCAATTCTCAGAAGCTCTGCATGTCATATCACTCCTTTGTCTAACCCCCGCCCCCCATTAGCTCTCAGTGCCCTATTTCTACCTCAGCCATATCTCTGTCCACCCTCCCACCACATTCAGCAACAGCTTATTTCTGATGCTCCATGATGCCCTGCATCTCTGAGCCAGAGGCTTGTGCCTGTGTGCTTACTAGTCCATTTATCTGAACACTTTCCCTGCTTCTACACCTATAACTTTCCTTCCTCCCTCCTCTTCTTTCTCTTACTCCTTCCCTTCCTTCCCTTCCTTCCCTCCCTTCTTCCTTCCCTTCCTTCCCTTCCCTCCCTCCCTTCTTCCTTCCTTCCTTCCTTCCTTCCTTCCTTCCTTCCTTCCTTCCTTCCTTCCTTCCTTTCTTCCCCTTGTCTCCTCTCCTCCCCCCCCCCCTCCGCCCTGCTCTCTTTCTTCCAGTCCTGGGGCTTGAACTCAGGGCTTGGGTGCTGCCTCTGAGCTTTCTTGCTCAAGGCTAACAGTCTACCATTTGAGCCACATAGCTCTACTTCTGGCTTTTTGGTGGTCAACAGGAGATAAGAATCTCACAGACTTTCCTGCCTGAGCTGGCTTTGAACTGTGAGCCTCAGCTCTCAGCCTCCTGAGTACTCAAAATTACAGTTGTGAACCACCCACATGCTTGGCTCACCTAGAACTTTTGCTGGCTTCTCAGGCCCCAGCCTAACTGCTCTTCCTCAAAGAAACCCCTTCCACCCTCCAGCTGAGCCTTGGTCCCTTTAAACTGTCCTATGACATTGGACCTCTTGCTTAGAGCACTGGTCACATCCCTAGCCCGGGTGTGGTATCTAGCAATATCTTAGCACTGAATGAATATTTGGTGAAGAAATGAGTAAATGCAATGGGGGTCAGAGCGGTGGCTTGCTTCCTGCCCAATTTATGGCCTCAATTTTCCCTCTTGGACCTAATTTTCTCCCCCAGGCTTCCTGAGCTTCCACTCTCTTCTTAGTCTTGGCCAACTTTTCTGGTTTATTCAACATGAAGTTAGAAGTTAGAAGGACACTAGGTCCCACTGATACATCAGGAGTTCAGACTCAGGGGCTCAGTCCCTGAAATGGCTATTCCCAGACCCTTGATCTCCAGAGAGGAACATTTTTCTGTATTAGTGCTCATTGTCTGCAGGACAAACACAGACCCTCTAGTTTGCAGTAAGACCCTGTGGTGGCCTCTGAGTCCCAGTTACCCCTTAGCTCCTCTGACTCCAGCCCTTTGTATCATGCAGTCTAGGTTGCAGTGCAGCGGGCTGCAGTTGCTCTATCTGCTCTTGCCTTTCAGTTTGTACTCCTCCATTTGACCTGTCCACTTCCCAAGCTTATCCCCTCCTGTCCTTGGTCCAGAGGTAGCCTACCCTTCCTCCTCTGTGCTTTTGTCTCAACCACTCTCGGGGGGAGGGGGGGGTAAGGCAGTGCTTCTGTGGCATCTGCACTTCTTTGTTTTCTGTCTTCTGCCTGTGTCTCCCACCAGACAGACCAGAGCCTGTGGGGTTCACTGTGCACTCCTCACAGTGTCTTCTGAGGTACACACTAGGCTTATTTCCATGTCAGCTTGGAGAGGTTCCTCAGTATGTTCAAAGCTCCATAAGAAATCTCAGATCTGGGTTTGAGACTTGTCTTCTTTCAAAGCCTGTGTCTGTGACCCGCTTCGTTCATTCACCTGGGGCTGCTCGTCCCCTCCTTCTACCTCTGCTTTCCTAGCCAGCACCTTGGCTCCACAGGGAGGAGGCTGGAGTTGGGGGAGGGGCGCAGTGGGGCTGGTGTCCCCACAGAAACATCTTGGAGGCCATCCTCTGGCTCGGCCTGGCCCCAGCCTGAGAGTTTGACACTCACTTGGTCTTGCAGTAAGCAACCACGCAGACGATGCCCACGACTAGCAGAGCCACGCAGATGCCAGTGATGGTCAGGACCCTCTTCTGGTACAGCTCCTCCGCCTCTGTAGGATCAGAGTATATGTGAAGGGTGCAGATGTCCCCTGTCCCCAGCCTCAGGCTCCCTCAGGTCCTGCCATCTCATGCCTGTTTCCCCTGGTCCTGCCCACCCAAGGACCTGGCCACCCTTCCCCAAACTACATGCCTGCTCAGAACACATGAGTGGAAAATGCAGGGGAGAAATGGAAGACAATGGAGTGGAGGCAATGTCTCAAGGTCATAGAGAAGAAAGGCAAAGGCAGGACCACTGGCCAGCATCGAGCCCTGTTCCACAGTGGCCTGACAGGTCTTTTGGCCAGGGAATATGGACATCTTGGCCAAAGAGCTGACTCAGCCACCTCTGTTTCCCTAAGAAGGGCTGGTGACAGGACATCAGACCCACACTTAGCAGGGAGGCTAGGGTCAGAAGCAAGGATAGAGAAGACTTGGGTGCAGGGGTGTAAGGAGAGAGGCCTTTACCCTCACAGCCTGGTCAGGATTCTGGCCTGGCCCATTAGCCCTTCCTGTCTGCTGGGAGAAGCTCAGAGGTGCAGCACATCCCTCTGGCATCTCAGGCTGTCTTTGGGTACCAGCAGCAGCGCCTACCCTCGCTGGCAAATTGAGACAGGGCCACCAATCTCTCAGAAAGGCCTGTCTTTTCTACCTCCTTGTCTTGTGAGGCAACCCTGCCCCTCTAGAATAGAAATAGGAGGAAGAAAAGGAAAGGGTGACAGCACTGGCCACAGCGAAGAGCATAGCCTAGAAAGCCACCGTGCTCCATCTGCACCTGCTGGCTGGCCCCTCTGCCTTGTTCCCACCTGCCCCCCTCTCTCCCCACTTAGCTCAGTGACAAATAGTGGCGGGACCATCACACTTGATGAAGCCCAGGGAAGCATCCCTAACTCTTCGGCACTGAGGCATCTCCTCAATGTAGAGACATCACACCAGCACTCTACACTCATACACAGACTTGTATGTGTTCCACGAATGGACACCACTCTTCCCAGGTGTACTGACCCATACTCAGGTAGAATCTTAGCTAAATAACCCTTGCAGCTCTGTCTCCATTCCTCATCCCCCTTTTACCCCTCAATCCTGTCCAGTCAGACATCATCGGTGAAAATCCTATGGTGACTCCCTCCTGGCCCACTGTGCCAGGCCTTTGAATGGTGGCTCTCTCCTGGCCTCCTTCTACCTCACAGGCTGATCTTTCAGCCTCAGGACTGTTTCCTTTTCTCCTACTTAGGCTGGAAGTGGGAAGGGCTCAGGGCTCTCAGACATCTTTCTCTATATCACCTGCCTTCTCTCCCTTAAGGATATCATCCAGACAGACTGTACTATCCATATGCGTTTGCTATTTCTATCTCCTCCTCTGACTCCCCTCTTGGTTCCGGACTCAGGTATCCGAAGGCCATGGCTGCCAGAATCACTAGCTCCCAGCTCTTTCCACACTCACTATGCTACTTTTCTCTTCTTCTTAGGGTGACATGTCTTCTCCCGTGGTTCAGATTCCATGCCATAGACTCATTCTTCTTCACTCCTATCTTCTTACCTTGCCTAATATATGACCCATTACAAGTCCTCCCAGCTCTACCTTCTAAGCAGGTCTTAGATCTGATCACAACAGGCATGTTTACCACTTTCAACATGGTCCAGGATGATGGCTTCCCTCACCTGGTGATGTTACCTTCTGACAGGGCTTTTTGCTTCCACCTACCTTGACCCCACTGCCAGCCCCAGGCTCTACCAGCAACAGTAATGGAGAAGATCTCACTTTAGTCCCCTGTTAGAAACTCATCCCTTCAATTCAGATAAAATCCAAGGCCATGGTCTCCAAGGTCTCTGACTACCAAGTCCCTATCTTCCTCTCCCCTACGTCCATGTTGCTCAGAGTCACTGACCACTGAACAAGCCTGCTCCAACACTGACACTATTCCCCAATTGTTTGCCAGATGTCCCCACGTGGGGTGAGACTTTTCTGATCACTAGGCCCAATTACTCCCCCAACTCCCACTCAGACACATCCACATACACCCACACTCACCTACATGTACTCCATATTCCATCAGCCAACATTCAACTGCCTAACACAAGGCCTTGGTACTTCCCCTTCGTGCCCTCACATCTTGCCCTGGGAAATCTAGCAATTTCCCCCACCCCAACAATATCCATGTATTCATACCTGCTGGTTTCCTCCTGTGCCTGCCACAATCCCCCACAGCTTCCACCCCTTCTGTCTACCCCAGCATAGCTCAAAAGCACAGACTCTGACTTGCAGACTTAGAATTCTGTCTTTTACTGAGAACAGTTGATAGGAACTAACCAGGCAGTAGGGCCTCCCAAACCTGGCAGGAGACTAGGCCTTTCCATATCTGCAGGCTGGAGGCTCTACCCTCTGAGCTCCTGAAGGCCTTTGGCTATAATATATCTGGATGCTTGAGGCCAGAGTGGAGCCTCCAGGCCCAAAGCCAGAGACCTAGAATCGTGGGCCTCCAAAGTCCCTTATATCCCAAAGAGTCTTCCAGGGTCCAGACAGAGAGCAGTTGCAGTGGGTAGTGAGGTAGGAGAGCACATGTAAGATTCAGAGCTGGAGGACAAGTAGCACGCACCACAGAGCAACCCAAACTCTTGCTGAACTTACTGGCAGACATTCTCTGTCTGTCTGTTTCTGTCTGTTTCTCTCTCCCTGTCTCTCTCTTTCCCCCTCTGTCTCTTTGTCTGTCTGTCTCATACACACACACACACACACACACACACACACACACACACACACTTCATCTTGGGGACAGATCTTGGAGGGAGTGACAGTTTTAAGCAAGCCGTGGAGACATACAGGGCAGGGACAGAAGCAAAGAGGAAGTTTTCAGCTACTATCCTGGTGCAGAATGAAAAAGCAATGGAAACGGATGAAAGGGAAGGAAGGAGTCAGATGGAAAGGGCTGGCTCTCTGCACAGCTCCCCAAGCCAGGCTTGTGTGATTTCCAGCCACTGGGTTTGAGGGAGCATGTCTCTTGTCTGGCCTGTGCACTTGTCCGCACAGCTCTGGAGGGCCCCTCCCCTCTGAGACCTCTTAGCCATAGGTCTTCACCTCACACACCATGCACCAGGTCCCTACTGTTCATGAGCTTTGATTCTGTCCCCAAATCAACATAGTTTATGTTAAGACATCTTGACAGGGCCAGAGGAGATTTCTGGAATCATCCTGTTTCTATTTTTTGGAAAGGAAACCAAACATTCAGCACTCTGGTGTCAGATGCTGTGGAGAGGGGTTGTGAAGATGGTACAGAGAAATACATAGAGGTTCCGTACCCTTTAATTCAAATCCAAGGTGCTCTGGCAGTGCAGAAGAGAGGGTGAGGGGCAGGAGCCAAGGGAAAGAGTAGAGAGAGAGAGATGGAAGAGGGAGAGGGTGGGGGAAAGAGAGAGAAAAAAGTTGGTTAGAACTCTTCAGACACCGGGGCAGCCAGCCTGTGAGGTGAATGCGGGTTAGTAGTGAACCTCCCAGCTTCCTGAGCCTTTCCCCTGGTGCCAGTCCCCAAGAACCCCAAGAGGGCTAGAGAGAGGCAGTTAGAATTGGTAGGCAGGGCAGGTTCTTAGGGGGAAGCAGTGGGGTTAGTACCTGGTTGGGGAGGCACAGGCACAAGAGTCAGTTGGCAAATGCTCCCTGGGAGAAAAGGGCAAGCAGGGCGGACTTCAAGAAGTCTCCCGTCCCCTTCCCAGTGCCCATCATTCAGCACTCTCAAGCCCTCCTGGAGACAGCCTGCCCACCTTCTGACTCATACATAGGAAAACTTTCTTCTGTTCTGCACAGGCCTCTAGTCCCCGGACTGGACCCACGTCCCTAGCTTATTCATCTCCTAGGAACCTAGTCTGGGGGACCAGGAGTAGGAGGCTCCAAGCATAGTCAATCCTCCCCTTGGTACTCCCTCATACCCTGTATTGGAGGGGCCCCAGTGCCCTCCTGATCTCTACTTAGAGGAGCAACTGTAACTGTGAGAATGAGGAGGTTGGGTTCACGTGTGCGAGAGTGAGCTCCTTGCATGGTGAACAAATTGCAGTCTTGGATGTGAGGTCCTGATAGGAATGTGTGATTTAGAGTCCTGTGAGATGGCCATTCACACCATTGGGAAGTTAGATAAAGGGTCCTGATCCAAGGGTCAGCTCTACCAATGATGCTTAGCCTATCCAGATCTCAGTCGCCTAGCTGTTAAGCGGGGATCAGGCCTGGCTAGGGGGGATACTGGAGGTTTGCAAACCTGGCTAAGCTTCAGAAAATCATTCAGACTAATGCGATCAGGCTTGGGTGGGAGCCCAGAAATTTCAATAGCATTTTTTTTAAAAGCTCACTTCTCATTCTACATTGTAGCCAGCACTGGTGTACAGGACTCATTCTCATTTTTTTTTTTTTGTCCCTAACTTGCTGCATGGATGTGGGTAAATCATGGTCTCAGTGTCCTCATCTGTCAAAAGCACCTTTGCACAGTCAGAGGCAGATATGAGCAGAGCTGGCCAGCAGGAGGCTCAGTGCACACATGGCATGTGGGATCCCCTCTTCTGTGGCCCAGGCTCCCTCCTTCCCTGACTTTCACATCAGTAGGGTCAGCTTCTGAGACCCATGAAATAGCACGTGATGTTCCCATCTGCTGCAGAGGTAAGCAGCATGAGCAACCAGCAGGGAGTCCTGAGCATTATCCCTCCCTGGAGCAATCTGTGTTCTAAAAGGGGTTCCAGAGGGTTCTGCATTTGGAAAAAAAAAAAGCAGGAAAACAGGGTGGCTCTGAGCTAGGGATCAAGATGGCTCTGACACAAAGAGCCATGAAGAAAGTCCTAGGGCTTGGGCCCCTCAATTCTGTGTGGAGATCATACCAACAAAGCACTGATCCCAGCCTTTCAAGCATGAGTCCTTTGTATTCTCCTGCTAACCTGAGGCCAGGGGATGACCTTCAGATTTTGGCTTCTTTGAGACTTTGCTCTGTTTGGAAGTAGAAGAAAAGTTGCCACAAGTACAGCCTGTCCACTCCTCTCCAGGTCCTTCCAGGGCTGGCCAGCCATGCTGAGTAGATGTACAAAGTGGAATCAAAGGGTTTCAGGGCAGCGCATTGAATAGTTAGTCCTGGAGCCCAGGGACACTTTAGGCAGCTGGAGAGCACTCCCATTGTCTGGATGTCCAGCCATGCTCCCCTAGGGAGAACAGACCAGCTTGGCCTCAGCACCTTGGAAACTAAGAGCTGGTTGTTATATTATGTGAGACAGCTGGGGCTCAGTGGTGCTAGGACGCTTTCTCAAGGTCACTTTGAGAATCAGAAGGGAAATTGGGAAGGCTGGGTCTCTGGTCATTTGGGGCTAAGACATGGTTATTCCTGCCAATTACATCTCAATATAAGCGTGTCTTGCTCCTTCCTACACAAAGCTATTTAAGAGTTTTCTTTTGTGTCACTCTACTAGAGACTAAATTGTAGCAGCAGCAGCAGCAGCTTACAGGGCTCTTGATGGCATGCATTTTGAGTCAAAGGTTAGTACTGTTTAGGGTGGTCCAGTGGTGGATCCATAACATGGCTGGTGAGGTCACTGAGGGCCTGGCTAATGACTAGATAGGCACTCTTCTCCCTGGGAAGCATGTTGACAGATTCTGAGGGACCTATGGCTGCATCAGTCCCAGGGAAGAAAAAAATCTCTCACTTAGGTTTATTGCTTGCTTCTCAGCCAGGATGAGGCAGCACTCCTGAGCCATGGGAAAATCCTATTGGCCAGAAATTTGCATATTGTCTAGTAACCATGGCAACTGAATGCTGGACACCCAACAGGGCTGGGCTTCTCAGGCAATTTGTAAATTCTTCACCCTGGACACATCCTATGATGCAGTTATAGGGTGCCTGGACCAGGCGGCAGTGATGTGTGCATGGAAATAAGCACACGCTCGTCTTGTGTGTGCAAGTGTGAGTGAATGCTTGTGTGTTTGCTTCTGTGTGTCAATGTGTGTTTGTGAGTGTGCATGTGTATAAGCACTGCTCCTGTGTTTACATGTCTGTGGTGCTGGTGTTAGTAAATGCTTGTGTGTTTGTTCAGGTTTGCAGCATGTGTTTATGTGTTCATGCATATGTGTGTGTGGGTACTCATGAATACATGAGGGATAGAGATGGACAAGCTTTGACTGCTGGGAGGGTAGGGGCTGACAGTGGAAGTAGGAGAAGCTTCTGCAGACCACAGGCTCTGTTTCCTTGGTTTCTCCAAAAGGTAACCTGGTTTTGAGGTAGTCTGGGCATGCTGCCAGGGTCAGATTCTTTAACTCAGGAATCCCTTCTTCATGCCAGCTATACCTGGGATGAAATACTAAATTTTCCTCCAATGAAAATGGCAGGCTCTGTGATGAACCCTTCATACATCTTCTTCCATCTGCACAGCAAACCCTACAAGCCTCAATGTCTTCAACCCTACTTTGCAAATGAGAAAACAAACTCAGATGGGTTAGATGAGGCCCCAGAGCTGTCTTTTATACCCTGGTCTGTTGGCATGGGCAATTGAAGGTTTGTGAGCATAGTCAACTGTCTTTGTGGTCATTGTCTGCTGGAGCAGTACATGAAGGGCTTTCTTGAAAAGCATTGGAGAGCCCAAGTCCTTTACAGAAAGGTAACAGTAATGACACCAATGACACAGGTGGGCAGGCCCAGGGCTACATTTGTAGGCTCTTTTTTGGGTTTCTGGCTCCCTCCTGACCCTCTAAATATAAATGAATTGAAAGCTGAAACAGCACAGCTAGCCAAGAGGCCTTGGATATCAGCCTGAGTCCCAGAGCTTTACTGAGTCCCAGAGCTTTACTGTTTTGATTCAGGATGGCCTGGACTATCTGTCCAGAACAGTTCCCCAAGCCAGGAAGGCTTTCTGCCAAAGGTAGAAAGGAATATGACCCCACTGTCTCTCTTACCTGGCTCCCACTCTGCCTACCTGGCCTGCCTCCATCACTAGAGTTTCCTACACAGGCTGTATCTGACTTTAAATTTCTTATCCCCACAGCCTTCTTCCCTGGTCTTCCTGGGTGGGCCTGGAGAGAACACTGTCTCCCATACTGTGAAGATGGTTGAACAACTGGACCTACTAGTCTCCACAAGCTGTGGCACCTACACTCTTGCTGGGTTAGGCTAGATTTCTGGGCTTTTTCGCTGTGGTCTGAGGATAATGGGGAAGGCCCATTTCACTATACTGAAACTCAAACTCCAAAACTCCTTTTTTCTATGAGCTATCTACATGGCTCCCTGGGTCCCACCTTTGGCATCTTAGAGTTCTATTTCCCAACCTTTAGGTACCATCTGAAAGTTTTGTTTCCTAACACCGTATAGGACTCAGCTGGCCTTCCTTGAGAGGAGAATGGGGTGGGGGTGGGGTGATAGGTCCTAGTCTGCTGTGTAAAATGGGGTGACTAATGTGGTTTGGGCATCATAGGCAAAAGAACAGTCCAAGCTGGCCAGCCAGTGGCTTTTTTGCTCTGCTCCACCTCCACCTGGTGGTGCTTGAAGGAACTGCTCCAGGTTGTAAATGCATTCTTGGGATACAGAGCTTCTATTCCTCCCCCCCGCCCCCCAATTCCTTCAGACACAGTGGAGTTGTAGTGTAAAGACAAAGCTCTGACTTCAGGAGTTGAAGAAAGGAAGAGGATGAAATCTTGGTTGGGAATTCAGAATAGATTGGTCCTGGAGAGTCACGAATCACTGTATGCATTCTTTATCCCCTCTATCTTTTAGCATCTGTAGTAGCCCCTAGCCTATCTTCATCCTGAAGTCACCAAATGCCTGTGCATCTACAGAAACTGTTGCCCTGGGTCCTGATCTTCCTCAACCTCTACTCCTCCCACCCAGTCCCTGAACCCCAAGCCAAACACATTCTGGTCAGGCTTTTGAGACCGTTTTCTCTCTCACAAACACATCAGCATACACCAGCACACACTCATTGCTGGGCCTGCCAGCAGTTTGACACTCTCAAGCAGCTGTCAGGCAGGAGAAGGCTCTGCAGTTGCCTCTTCCCATTTGTGCCAGGATGCCTGGAGGGGGAAGAGGCCTGGGTGTGGTCTGCTGCAGAGAGAATCCAGCATTGCTGTACCCAGGCAGTATAGCCCGACATGTTAGGGGGCAAGGGATGTATCGTTCTCCTCTGCACAGGCTTCTGGTGAGCATGAAAATTAAGAGGAGCTCAGGGCATTCCTGCTCCCCTTCCCAACCCCAATCTTGGCCCCATCCCTCCCACAGGGGGAGACTGCCAGTCATCAGGGAAGAGAAGAAATAGAAGAAAGAGACATACTGGAGAAGTTGACCATTGCGAACTGCTGACACCTGTCCCCGGTGTATCCCACAGGACACCTACCAAAAGAAAGAAAACCAGAAAGAGAGAGCCAGGATAGCAAGACACAGGCATTGCAACACCCCAGCATAGGCTCCTGCCAATGCCAGCTGGGTTCCTTGCCACCGTTACCATTTGTACTGGCCTTGCCATTCTGCCCCTTACCTGTAGCCCTGAACTTTAAACCCAAGGATTAGGCCAAAAAATGAATAACAAAGCAAAACAAAACAAAACAAAAAAGAACTAACAAACCAAAATACAAAAAAAAAAGGAAAAGAGAAACAAAACAAAACAGCCAAAGATCAAAACAACCAACACCCCTGGTCCTATGCCCTACATTGGGATGGGGGGGACTGCACCCAGAAGCTTTCTAAGGAGCGGGGACTTGTGTTTGTATCTTCAAACATACTTTGCTTAGGATCTGGCATGTACAATCGCAAAGGCAGTTTCTCCAAACATCTCTGTCCGAAGAATCCGTTTGGACATCTGGAGAAGGAAAAGGGGAAAAATCACAGAACAAACTGGCATCATCCGCGAGGCTAAGGTTAGAAATCAAAGTGCACAGTGATGAATGAGAAAAACCAAGTCAGGCACTTGGGGGGGGCGGTCACACTTGTAGCTGAAGGGGCTGGAGTTGGGGCTGGGTGGAGGGCTCTGAAATCTCCTTCCAAATCTCTCTAACAGATGTGGCTCCGTGGGTGGTGGGCAGGTGGGTTAGGGTGGGGAGGAGGATGATTTAGGGAAGTGGGGGTGGGGAGGGTGGGAGGTCATTGCCTAGTTGTCCTGCTGGTTGTGGAGCTTTCCTTCTTACTTGCCTGGTGCCCTGTGAAGCCACGCTGTAGTCCCTTGGCAGTCAGTCCTAAGGGATCCCAAGTTCTTGGGAGCCGCTCCTGGGCCCTGAAGGATTCTTTCCGGCCCTGGGCAGGTTTTTCTCCTCCATGGAGTAGTCCCCAGAAAGCTCAGAGCACAGAGCTCTGCTAAGCTGTTCCCACCACTGGGTATCCATGACAAAAGTGACCTAAGAGGTGTTGAATCTGTTCTCTTAAAGAAGGTTCTGTGGCCAAATAAGTTTAGAGAATCCTTTCCCAGTGTTCTTATAAAGCTACAGTCTACTTTAGCATAGGAAGGGTTAGGAAAAGTTTTAGAAAGAAATAGCAGAAAGTTCTAGTATGCTCCAAACTTATTTGACCATGGAAGACGTTCTTTTTGTAGAACACACTTTGGGAGAAGCTACCTAGAGCCACAGAGGTTGGAAAATCTTAGTAAGACAAGGGGAGCTGGAGAGGAGGTGGAATTGCCAGCGTCTCAAAGCTGCCTTCCTGATGCCAGGAACGGGAGGAGGTTGGAGCAGGCTCACTAGGGTGCCCTCCCTGAAGCCTGTTCTTCACCAAAGGCATGCTGGTAGCCAGCCTTGGCATGCCTGCCTTTTCTCCATGACCTGCTCTTCCATGGCAGCCTGGCTCTGCCCTGCATCTATTCTTCCATCTTGCCTTCCCTGAAGCTCTTGGGCAACACCCACTCTCTTCTCCCTGACCTTGCCCTTACCCCCACGGTACAGCTCCTTCTGTTCTCAGGCTGCCACAGCTCCCTTCCAACAAGTCTGTCTTTCAGATTTCTGGACATGTCCAGCCTTGTACTCTCTTCAGAATTCCCTCCCCCTGGCTGAAGTTGGTTACTTAAGCTTATGGACTAGGCTGGACCCTTCCCTGTGTTTCCTATTCAGAGACTGGTTTATGTTGCCTTGGTCTGCTCATCCTTAGGAAGTCAGGTAAACCCATCACCACTATGCCCTCAAAACAGGCTATGGCTCAACTCAAACTTAAACTTCCTCAAAAGCTTAAGCAAGCATACACTACTTCTTATATCCAATAGTCAATCCATCAGCTCCTTGGGCTTAGAGTGGGCAGTGACAACTGGCTGTAATAGATTCTCATGAGAAGCCTACGGCCTCACACCTAGAGAAGTGGAGAATAGGAGTGTGTGTGTGGGCAGAGACCTAGAGTTTCTGTAGCTCAGATGGCATCTCCCTTGGGAGAGGAGGATGTTGTCACTTAGGTGGTGGGATATGCATTTAGGTGAGCCAGGCCAGGGGTGGGCACAGATGGCTGGAAAGTGGTGGGTCTGGGTAGGGTGGTGTGTGCTTATCCTGTTGCACAGGGAGACTTGGAGGAGTAAATCCCCATTCACATCCTTTGCACATCCCTGGATCTTGCCCCTAATCCTTTCAGCCCAGAAAGAGGGAGGCTGCCCAAGAGTTTCAGCCAGGCTCAGTTCTTCCTCAGTTCAGGGACACTGATCTGGGGCAAGGGTTCTAGAGAGGGCAAAGTGAGTTTTTAAACAGAAATACCTTTGGAGGATAAAGACCCATGACGTTGCCAAAAAGGACTATTGGACTTCACGAAGGAACAAGAAAGAAATTGATTTGTCTGTGTCCAAAGTGTGAGAGTGCTCTTAGAGTCAGGGAAACCAGTGTATGTATATATATGCCATTGTGTGTGCGTGCATGTGTGTGTGTGTGTGTGTGTGTGTGTGCGCATGTGCATGTGAGAGAATGGGGAGAATACAGGGGCAGGAAGGGACAGAAGGGGAATTTATTCCTTCCCATTACTGACAAGCAGGGCTGCTGTGCCATAACTTTTGCAGACCAGTAACAGCTAAATACCTCCCTGCATGCCTGGTCCCACACCCTGCCTATACTCTGATTGCTAAGATCTGTCATGGCCACTGGGCCACACAACTCTGGCATGGTCTACAACGTGAATGTGCCCCCTGGAATGGCGTGACCTTCTGGTGCTAGCCTTGTGCCTGTCTTTGAGGGTGTGCCCATACCCCAACAAAGTGAAATCCTGGGGGAGGGGTGTAGTAAGGGATGAGGAAGACTGATAGCTCATCTGTTCTTGGGGAGGGGGGTGGCACCAGTGTCTTCAGGGGCTCTCAGACACTCCTGTTCCTTTCCTTGACCTTGCTTGTTGAGGTGGGGGCTTCCCTAGCGGAGGCTCTGGGTGTGGGGCTGGGCTTACAGCCTAGTTAACCTGCTTCCAAGAGTAGGGGAGCAGGGTCCAGAAAGCATCCACCTATCAATGAGATGGGGCACTAGGTGTGGCTGGCTGGTGGCTGTCAGTTCCCACTCAGATAGGGACCAACCCTCTGATGTTCAGGGCCATCAGGGACAGAAGGAGCGGTAGGTAGCAGTCCTTTCCAGCCCTTCCGGAAGTCATCAGCTGTGACTCTGGGCAGGTCTGTACCTGGGGCTGGAGAAGAGCAGGGGTAAGAGAGGGACATTGAGGAGAGCCCATGGGCTACATCTGGGGGAACAGATAGGTCAGGACCTCTGTTGTCCCCTTTTCCCACCTGCCTCCTGGGCCTCAGTTTCTCCTTTTGGTAGCCTGGGGATAATGCCATGTGTGCTGCCCTCACCTGGAGGAGGAAGGATGAAGAATGAAGGTGTGCCCCAGGCACCAGAGGGAGTGAGGGTCTTGGAGTTCATGAAGGGCAGGTGGAGATGGGGCGAGGATGAGCAAGCAGATGGGGTGGGATGGGGGAGTTGCCTGAACATGAGTGGCTGGGGAAGCAGAGGGATGGGGGATGGGCTGATGGAAGAGGAAAGCATGCCACTGGTATGTGCACAGGGCTGGAAAGAGAGTCTTGTTCTGTCATCATCCCCTGAACCAGTCCCCAAGAGTCACGCACCAACCGTGCTCAACAAACACACGGAGAGAAGAGGAGAAAGCAGCAAGAGGAAGTGTGGAGGCCCCTGTCTAGCCCAGATAGAGACAATCACCTTGATTTGGCCCCCTCCCCATTTTCAAATCCCCTTAAGTTGTCTCTCTTTTTTTCTTTTAAAAAAAAAAACCAAACAAACAAAATTCAGTATCAGTGACACGGTTTCTTTTGGCACTGAATTCCAGAAGAAAAAAAAAAAAAAAGAAAAAGAAAAAGAAAAAGAGTTACGGAGTGCGCCTGCTTTTCCAACACTCCCTGCAGGGCCCTGAACCAATACACAACAACAAGTGTAAGAAAACCAGGAAGGAAAACTGATTTTTATCGAAACTGGAATGAAACTGACCAGTGTAGTTTCATTATCCAAGCTAAGCGGAAATGCAAAAAAATCAAAATAAAAAGTAAACAAACAGCACAAATGGTAAGACGTGAGTTCCGTTTCCTAAGTTCTTTCCTTTTTTTTTTTTTATTCCATTCAGGTGTCATCAGGAACCCCAAGAGGCCTACCCCCCTTCCCTCCCAGATCACCCACCCCCAGAATGGCCTCTGGGCTCTGCCCGGCCTCCCTCCCCCCTGCCCTTCTCCAGCACAGCGTCAAGGACCGCAGTCCCGCCAGGGTTGACCTTCTCCCCTGCAGGCTGACAGAGGGAGTTAGGGATGTGGGTTCCAGGAGCCCTGACTGGGGGCTGATCCAAGGGGCAAAGATGGGGAGGTGGTACCTAGTCACAGTCTAAACAGGAAAGCCCAGTTGCCCTGGTGGGGAGGGGAGAGAGGGAACCCACCATGTTCATAAGGGCTCAGGCTCCTCCCTCTGTCCTCTGCTTCAGCAGGGCAGGCTCCCAAGCTCAAGGAATGCAGCCATGTTGGCAGGTTCCTTTGGAGGCCCATATAACTCATCCCTCCCTTTCCCACAGTAGACCTGACACTGGAGCCTAGGTTCCAGGACTCCTCCTCATCCTGTCCTGGGAACCAAACCTTCCCTGCCCGGAGCCAGGGCTGATTTCAAAGACAATGCTGAATCTTTATGAAGGCCAGGGAAGAGGAAGGGCCTGTTGTGAAGGACAAGGAAAGGGGGAGTGGGGTCGGGCCATCCCTATGAGGAATTCTAGGACCCTCCTGAGTCTGTTCCAAAGAGCTCAGAGCATTTCAAGGCTGTAATACTGATGTGGCTGCCTGGTAGATGCAGAAAGTGGGAAGAATGAGAATGGAGGGCAGACCCAAAACTTCCCTGGAGGACAGGATGTTGCTTTTGGGACTGTTCCCTGAGGTTTAGGAGGGGAAGAGAGTGGGAAGGGGTGACAGCAGGTGAAAGGTGTGACTGGGGAGGAAGCCAGCCGGGGCCAGAGCCACAGTCCTTGCCTGGCAGTGCAGTCAAGCTACCTTACATTGGGTCACCAGCTTTGTGGCCTCCTCACTAGGTGGAGGGGACTTTAAAAGTGCTGGCTTCCTTGCCAGGCCTATGTTTCTAGAAAAGGCCGGAGCCAGGGATGGGGGTACAGATGTGGTCTGACAGGCCAGAGGCAGGAGAGCCAGAAGTATGAGTCTGCTTTGTCTAGGTGGAAGTCATCTCCCTTTCTCCAAATCACCATGAATACTTGGCTGGCCTTTGACCAGATGCCATGGGAATGGGACATCTTTGGCACCTTGCCAGGGCCCTAGGCCCCTTTTTCATTCCTCCCTAAGATCTAGCCAGAGCCTGTACTCCTTTGCCAAGCTCCCAGCACCATCCCCACACACTCACCAGAAAATCTGCCCAGAAGACTCTGGGGGCTCAACAGATTGGTCTGGGTCTTAATACATCCTCCTGGCCTAACTCACTCCCACCTTCCCTATTTGCTAGAGGGAGCTGGTGCTTCTGAGCTCCTTGGAGTTCCTGCTGGGGCTACCTTGACTCCTCCAATGGGCCACACCCAGAATGGTGCCCTTAGGGAGTCCCCATACCCCAGAGAGAGGGACTAGGTTTACAGGGGCATAGGCAGTACCCAGACCATTCTTGGACATTGGGGGCCTTCACAGCAGGAAGAACAACAAGATCTGAGGTGAGCACTAGGTTCTGGGCAGACACTTCCTGTACCCTCCAAACTTCAGGAGTGGGAGCCTCAGTTGCCAAGGGCTCTGGAGCCTGTGCCCTACCTGAGCTTGCCAGGCCCCTCACTGCTGGGGACATGTTCTTCCAGAACAAATATGGAGAGTTGCAGAGAGATGGGGAAGGAGGAGGAGGAAGAGAAGAGGAGAGAGAGAGAGAGAAAGAGAGAGAGAGAGAGACAGGCAGACAGACAGACAGACAGATGGACAGAGAGATACAGTGAGAGAGAGAGAGAGAGAGAGAGAGAGAGAGAGAGAGAACTAGCCCAATGCCTAGACTGGCATTCCCATATCCCTAAGGGGTGTTGGTAAGAGGTAGACATCAGAAGACAAAGTGGTAGGGGTCTAGGAAACTGGGACTGGAGGAATCTCTTTGCCCCTTAGAGCTTTTATCTTCTATTTCAGAAAGGACTAGGAAGTGGGCAAACTTCCCTGTCTACCCCTTGGGGGCCCCTTCCCAGTGGCTTGAAGCCTGTTCTTCCTAGAGCCCTCCACACCTGCCCCAGCTTCTCCTCCCCTGATCTTGGCCCTGTGCCCGCCCCCAGTGGTCACTTACTTGCAGGACAGCTGGTTGATACCCTCGATGTAGTAGCACACGCCTCCATTGACACAATAGGACTTGGCTGTCTCGTTGCACTTCCGGGCGTGCCCGGACCAGGATGACAGGGTGGTGCTCACTGGAGGTACGAGAGACACGTGCTAGTGACCCACTGAGACCACCTCTGGGCCCCAGGAATCACATCTTCCATGACCCTTCATGTTCATCTCAAAGCTGGAAGATCTCAGATCCTGCAGGACTTGCCTGGGGAGGGAAGGTCTGTGGGTCCCTCTTGGTTGACCACAGGGAAATGAACAGCCACTAGCAGCTCTGACCATCTGCCCATTATTATTATTAGCCTGGACCTACACTCTTGGCAAACCTCTAAAAGCCTTGGCAAACCTCTAAAAGCCTTGGCAAACCTCTAAAAGTCTGCTTTACTGGAAGTGACTAGAATCAGAGTTACCTCTGCCTGGTCCCTCCTGCTTTGCTGGGGGTCCATAGTAGGTAGGCAAGATGCTGATGTTTAGTGTGGGAACTTAGGCAGAGAGGAGCACCTGCATCCATCTGTATTTTGAGTTCTCATGGTGGACTTGTGTGTGTGTGTGTGTGTGTGTGTGTGTGTGTGTAGCTGGAAGGGAACGAGGACTTCAGAGGGGTAGTACCTTTAACATACTGTGATTTTCTAATATCTCAAAGATGTTAGGGAACACTAGTTTCTGCTCTTCTCCCTTTACTCCAGGGTTGGGCTGGAATGCTATCAAAGTCACCAGGCTTTGCAGGATCTCTTCTAATGTCCCCTCATGCCAGGTAGCCTCCACCTTCCCAATCTTATCGGCTATTGTCTCTAGCCTGGGACAGCACAAGCTATAAATCATGGGTTTCCAGTTGGTGGGAAAGAAACAGGACTGGGGACAAGCCCAGGGAAGGGGGCAGCTGGGATATGAAACAGAGTGGAGAGAGAGTCTAAGCCTAGGTGCTTGGGCAGCTAACTCAAGACTACACAGCTTATTGATCAGACTCATTTGAAAAACTAAACAAATGAAAAGCCTTGCTCCCCCATCAGGGGGCAGCATCCAGATAGCTGATGTGGAGGGAAGATTCTTAGCCAGAAGGTCAGTTTTCATCCATAAGAGGATGCCCTTTGCTGTGTATCCAGACTGGGCCTTCAAAAAGGAATCCCTGCCTTCTCCCCACCTCCTAACTCCCAGGGGCTCTGAGGGTGGCCTTCAGACAGATGTGGCCCATCTCACTTTGGTGGAGCCTATCTCCTTAGGAAAATGAGTATCTATCTACTCTCCCCTCAGTAATGGGGAGGAGGTGGGAGGAGAAGGAAGGAACAGAGTAGGCACTCGGTGCCCTCAGTGTTTAGACATGTAGGGAGACGGATGGAGCGTGGGAGACTGGGAGTGTACACACAGCTCTGCCTCTGTATATGTCTGAGGAGCTCACTGATAAAACCCTCGTGGGCAGGGCCAGTTCCCAACCTCCTCTGCACTCCATGCCTGCTGCTGAGCTGGCATCTGGAGCCCCGCCCCCATGTCTCCAAACAGGAGGCTCCTCCAAGCCTCCACCACAAACCCAGCTGGGACCCACATGCTGGCCTGGGAGCGGAGGCTGCTTGCTGCTGGTCTCTGCACTCCTACCCTGCCCCTTTCTGGGTCAGTGAGACCCAGGAAACCAAGAAAGGGACAAAGTTATATATATGCCTGCAAGTTATAAAGTCTCTGGGTAGATCCTCGAGGTTGTCTTGCCCTTTACTTCCCCTGGGAAGGAGGAGAGAGCAAAGAGAAGGGTGAAGGCCTGTCCAGAGTCACTATGTGTTGTGACAAGGTCCCCTGACTCCTAGTTGTGCATTCTTGTCAGCTACCCAATCTCTTGAGAAAGAACACGTCAGCAGCACCAAGGCTTGACATGAGCAGATGAATGCCAACAGCATGTGGACCACAGCCTGGGACCTCCTGTGGGCCTGGGCCAACCCAGAGAAATCTCAGCCTGGACCTTTGTGGCTTCCTTTACAATCATGGTGGAAGAGGCTACCCGCTGTGGTGCCCATATTGGGATTCTACCCACATTGGTTAAGCAGTGCACATCAGTGAGGAGGCTGGCATGGCTGAGACCATAGTGGCACATTTGGGCTTGCCACACGTATGTTGCTCACCAAGGCAGGGTGGGCAGGGTGGGGAGGGGGAGGCAGGGGACAAATGAAGAAAGAGAGAGACTGAAGACTCTCTTTCCCTTTGGCTGTGGTACAGTGAGTCTGGGCTGCTAATACCACAGCAGCATGAGAATGAGGCCAGGGGCTCAGAAAGGCCAGCCCAGGTCTGCAGGGAAATTTGCACAGGCAGAGGGGTGTTCACACCATGATATCATGCATGTGGGTCCAAAAGCAATCTGTCTACACCTCCTTGTCAGCAGGTCTGTATTTCTTCACTATGTTCCCTGTGTTTGGAGAGGCAGAGTGGCACAGATTCTAAGTGCAGGGTCTGACTATGCCTTTGAACCTTCCATTCATAGTGCTCATAGCTACTCCAAACCCAACATGTCCAAAACATGGCTCCAAGTCATCTACCCTAACCATTGTCTTCTCCAGTCTTTCCTATGCCAGTGGCCACATGGAACCTGCCAAAGTCCCAGAGGGCATTGCTTGTTTCTCCTCAATTCCATTGTCATCTATCTCTAAGGGTTGCTACTGGCACCCTAAGAGACTTCAGCTACATCTACTTCCTCCCCTGGTCCAGGTCATGGTGGTCTCTTCCTTGGGTGATGACAGAAGCCTCCTTAAAGTCTTCCTGTGCTGACTTGTGTTTCTACTCTGACCTTTTGGATTGACAGCTGCTAGAGAAGTCTTTAAATATGTGAATTGGGTCAGTCCTTTCCTAGAGCAAAGTGCTGTCCCATGGCTTCCCAACTCCTCACCAGGTCTCCTCACCTTCCCTCATCCTCTCCTCTCCTCCCTTGCAGTATGTTACAGTCAGCTCGGCTTCTCCGGAAGCCTGGAGTCTTGCATAGTATATCCCAAATATCAGTGCCCTACAGCAGCCTCCTCCAGCTGCTCCAGTGGATCGCACCCCTCCCTTATGCCTGTTCTTCACCTACATACCATGCTTGTCATGCGTATTCTAACCTAAAATGACTACATGTGTTATAATAGCTCCCTGCTAGAAGTAAGTCCCCTTAGTGGGCCACATCTGTCATGTCTCACTGAACTCCAAAGCCTTAGCAGAAGGCCTGGAAAATGGTTGCCTGAGCAAATAAATATTTGGTTCTTCAGGGAAAAAGTGTCTCCTGCTGCCATCCCAAGACTAGTCTGGTGACCTTGGCTGATGGTGATATCTCTTCTATAGGGTAAAACATTGTCTCCTATTTTATGTAAGTATTCTTGTTAGAGTGTTAGGAACCTGAAATGAAACTCACAATGAGATAATACTTTACATCTGTTAGAATGGCTAAATAATAATAATAACACTAAAAGGATACTAATAACTGTTGGTGAGAGTGTAGAGAAATCAGAGGGCTTGTACATTGCTGGTGGGACTATAAAATGGTGCAGCTACATTGGAAAATACTCAGGTGGTTCTTGAAATAATAAACATGGGTTGAGAATATGGCTGAGTGGTAGAGTGCTTGTCTAGCATTCATGAAACCCTGGGTTCAATTCCTTGGTACCATATAAACAAAAAATGAACTGATCTTAAAAATAATAGAAACATAGAACTACCATATTTCTACTCCTAGTTACATCTCCAGGAGATTGAGAAGTGATGTGCATACAAAACTTCTATATAAATGTTCACAGCAGCATTATTCATAATAGCCAAAATGGAGCAACAAATGGCCCACTAACCCAAACTGAGAAATGATTAAGTAATATATGGTACATTCATTTGGGGGAATATTATTTTGCCATCAGAAGGAATGCTGCATGCTTGTAGCAGGAGATGCAGGAGCTCCTGCTATAGGAGATACCTGCTACAAATGGATAAGCCTTAAAAACATGTTAAGTAAAAGAATCCAGCCACATACTGCATGACTGTTTTTATATAGAATTTCTACTATAAGTAAATTCCCAGGAGGAGAAAGATTAGTTGTTATTAGGGGCTGGAGAGAGGGGGCAATGGGGAGTGACTGCTAATTCATGTGGGGCTTCTTTTTGAGGGGATGAAAATGTTCTGGGATTAGTGGTGATCACAAAACTTAATGACTAAACTAAAATCCACTGATGCATATGTTCAAATGGTGAATCCTATGGTATGTAAATTATATCTGAACTTAATTACAAATGTTAATTGATCAGGGCCTTGGTGAGTAGGAATGAAGCAAGATGGGCTCTGAGCAGGTGCTGCACAGCTGAGCTGCCTACTGCTGTACTTGATTTTTCTCTCTTGCCCACAGGCAAAAACTTCTACTTTTTTCAAGGCCCAGATCCTCAGTTTTCTGCTTCCTTACGGCTCTGTCTCCTGGGCAGAATTCCCTTTTCTTTTGGTATGTGTGCCTTCCTGCTTCTGTCTGTTAGGAGAGGCAGTTATTTTCAAAATCCTATTTGAGGGACTTTGCTGGGGTGGGGGGCAAGATTCTGACTCTCCAGGGCTTAGAACAGGGTCACACTGAAAAAGGTTTGCAGTGTGTGTGTGTGTGTGTGTGTGTGTGTGTGTGTGTGTGTGTGTGTGAATTCATGTGTGCGCCCATGTGAATGCAGATTATGTTCACTCAGGTGGCCTTTTAAATCCCTGACTAGGGGACAGGCTTGGAGGACTCTCTGGGATTTCTATGGTCCTGTGACATTTCAGGGCAAACCTGCCTGTCCTCTGCCTGGTGCCTGGGATATTCCTGTGTGGCCATCCACCTCAGCCAGGCCACTGATTTTGCTAATGCAGAAGTGGGTCAGACTAAGCCAACTGTTTTATTACAAGCTCCACAAACTTCTGGGCTCCTCCTTCTAGGCAAGGCAAGGAGACTGGAGGCTTCTTGTGAGCTGCAGTGTGATGACAGCCAGGAAGGCCTGCTCTGATGTGGAGGACCAGACACCCCTCAAATTCAGTGGGAGCTACTGGAGAGCTGGGTGATACCACTAGAGCAGCTGGCTGCTCCTTGACCCTCCCCCCTCTCCCATGGCCCTGGTTCCCCTGAGGCCTGGGCGGGCCATACCAACCCACCTAGGGATGAGTCAGAGGGGGTAGGCCCAGATGCCCGCTGCCCGCCCTCCGCCCCCTCCTCAGGGTGTGGTTGCTGCAGGTCTCCTGGTTTCTGAAGGTAAACAAGGAACTCAGGCATCTCAGCCTGGGAAAATGTCACCAGGAGGGGCTTTCTGGCTTCCTGTCCCATTTTTGGTCCATTTCTCACATCAGAAGTAGGTTCTTGCCTGCCATGGGCTGAAGAGGACACAGAAGAGTCATAGACTCGTGGTGTGTGTGTGTGTGTGTGTGTGTGTGTGTGTGTACATATATATGTGTGTGTTGGTGAGGCATACAGGATGTAGCCTCAACATTGAACTCAGAATCCCAGAATTTTAGGGAAAGGGGCCTAAGATCATAGCTCAGCCTATGAGGGGAAAACTGAAGGTCAGGGAGATGGAATGAGGTGGGACTGCATGACCTACAGTTGAGCCTAGACTATATCACTGAAATCTTTCCACTAGCTTATTGGCTACTCTCCTGTCAGGCTGCAGAAGCAAGAGGCAAGGAACCCTATGGGTAGCTAGGATTCCAGCCAAAAGTTCTCCTGTCTGGCTCCTAAGCTGATCACAACCTGGCTTGTTGCTGCCTGAGTGAGCTGTGTATGGGATGGGACTGAAGCTTATCCCATGGGCCTGTGGTCCTAAGCTCTGTATGGCAGAAAGGGAACAGTTTGGCTTTCTGGGTGGCAACCATCTTTCCCTACTAATAGGCTCCTGTAGGAATGTTTCTCCATGTAGTTCCAGTAGGCCATGGCTTAGGGATCTCTGTCTTGCAGGAGCTCCTCTACTTACAGACAAGCTAGCAAAGATGGCACTCTACCCTTCCAAGCACTTACAGGGACAGGTGGGTACATAACCTTAGCAGGATCCTCAGTTTCTATCCTTATGACTAGATGGATGGTCACGGAGTAGAAGTAGCAGGCTGGGGTGACATGACCCTGGAGCTGTCTAAGCCATAACCTCTTCTCCTTTGCCCCTGGTCTCCTAAATGGGAGAAGCTGCTTCATGGGAGAAAAGAACCAGTCCAGCACACAGTGGGGAAAATTGCCCTGATCTATGCTCTCGTTATTGAATTTGTCATGTCTAGTGCCACTCTGACCTCTGGACTTGTAAGTTTTGTGTTCTTGTCATTTCTTGACTAATATAAAAGGATCTCCAGATCCATGATGGATCAGAGAGCATCTGCCAACCAGGACAAAGGTGGCAGGTACTAGATCCCAGGGTCATCTCACTTTTTCAGCCTTGGAGCAGGTAGAAAGATCCAGATATGCCTTCCATATCATGCCCAGGGAGAGCAGGTAGTAACAAGGGCTTGGAGCTAGGATTATAGGCATGAGCAATAGGCTCATCATCTCTCTGAGCCTCTTATAACTTATAAAATACATTCTGATCCTGGATAGGTATTCATGAGCTTATGCAGAGCCTGGCACAACAATAATAGCTAGGGTCACAACTCCCAGGGAGAGGCATTGTCTCTGTGCCCCCCACTTTTGAGGCTCACCATCTACTGGATTCGTCAGACCCACAGAGAAAGTTCAGCAACAGCATGAAGTTGAAAATAATCTAAGGCTGGAAGTCAAGAGATGCCACCAGACTATGGTAGGCCAAGGAGTGGCCCCAGACGAGGGTAGGAGGTGAGAGTGGCATTGTGATGGGCTGAGTAGTGAGAGAGAGAGGAAAAATAAGGATGTGGTAACAAGGGGAGCAAATGCAGTTTGGGCCACAGTGGTGAGGACCAAGTCCTTGTCCACAGCATGGGCATGCCTGAACTAATGGTGTAGGCTTGGCCAGATGAATGTGCTTTAAAAGGCTATTCCTTAGATATGTGAGTGAGTAGGGATGAAACCTGAGCCAGGGATACCCTTGAGATGGAGTTGGAATGGAAGGGATAAGTGTGAGAAAAATCCAGAAAGACTAACCAGAACATCAAGACTCAGACTTCTTAGACATAATGGCAAGGTAGACCAAGGAGCCCAGAGAGCTGTGGAGATGGTCCTTTGCCAGTTCAAGAGCAGCAGGGTCTGGGCTGACTGTTCAGCCGAGGGTCACGGGGCAGGAATGTTCTCTTTTAGATAGTGTTGGCTTTGGGAGCATGGCCAGGCTGTCGGGTGGAAATCCAGGCAGGTGATGACAGACATAGGATTAGATTCTGTTGTGGGCAGGACTGAAAGTGAATCTGGGTACCTCGGTAAATGGTGTGTTCCATCTGTGGGTGCTGGGAGGAGAAGGATTGGAGGTATATGTAGGGTACGGGGATGAGTGAAGGGATACTGCTTGGGGACGGGCAGCTTTGGCACAGAAGAGAGGCGAAAGGATGTTGCTAGTCTTAGTGTATAAGTCTTCAAGGGAGGAGGACCAGTGGGGAAGTCTGATATCCCTAAGCAGGGGCTGCCCTAGCTCCCACCCTTCTGTGCCCCAATCCCTCCGTGCCACAGGCCGGTGCTCAGGTGCCCTGCAATGCAGCAGACAGCAATCACCCGCCCCAGGCCTGTCTCTCCCCCAGCCCTGCTCCTGGCAGCCCAGCCTTCCATAATTGCCTTCTAAAAATATCCTTCCCTCCACCCCCACCTCTTGATTTCAAAATATTTAGTTTTCAGGGTATTTAAAATGAGAGCTGGCGGCTCTTCCAGGCCCAGATAACAAAGCTAAACATTTATGCTTCGACTGCATTTCTCTGAATTGGCTGAGATCTGGGGCCTGATATGGCAGCCGCAGGAGGGAGGAGAGTTGACTGCAAGATGGATCATGTGCCGGCCTCTCTCCATGGGGCTGGGGTAACCGGTCCACCCTGCCCCCCCAACCCCCCCCCCCAGGACCAATCCCTTCTTTAAGGGGCCACCTACCGCTGTTGACATGGAGCCGGCCTCGGACAGTGTCCTTCCCCAGAATGTTCTCAGCCTCGCACACATACTCCCCAGCGTCTTCCACTTTCACCTTGTTGAACTGTAGCCGTGAGTTCTTTCTGGTTAGGGAGGGGAGAGAGTGGGAGAGGCATGAGCCAGGACCACGTGGCTACTCAGCGCTAATCAGCCACTCACCTCTCCCCACAGAGCCAAATGGCTGTGCAGGTGGGATGGGAAGGAGATTCTCTTTGCTGGGGTTCAGGTGGAATATGGTGAGCTGTGGAGCTGGAGGGAGACTTAGGTCTTTAGGCTAGCACAGGGTGGGGCCGATGGCTGCACACATGTTCTAAATCTATGAATTTTCACATCTCTCCTTTCCTAGGGCTGAGCTTTCTTTCTCACATTTTTCTAAGGAAGGAATAGCAGGTCCCTTAAGAAGTCACGTGTCCACATCCTTCATTCCAGCTGTCTCTGCTTTCCTTAGAGGTTGTGGCTTATTACTCTGGAAATAACCTATATTCGGTGTTATGGTTTGAATGTGTCTCCCAAAGCTCATTGATCTCCACTGAAATAGTGTTGGGGGGGGGTGGGCTCTATATGCAAGATGTTTTGGTCATGACAGTTCCAACTCCACGAATGGATTAATGTTATCACTAGAGTCATTATTGGATTTGTTGTTCTGAACCCCTCCTCCCCTTTACTCTCTTTCATGCAAGTGTGCATGCATATGCACACCCCTTCTAGCTCCCCCTCCTGCTCTCTTACTCTCTTATTATGTGATGCCTTCCTCCATGCTATGATGCAGCAATGCAGCAAGAAAGTCCAAACCAGATGTTGCTCCTTGATCTCGAACTTCCCACTCTCTACAGACTGAGAACTCCTGCACTCCCATTATTTATAAATAACCCGGTTCATGTACTCTGTTATAAGAGCAAAGAACGGCACAAACATCCAAGTACTTGGGACAGCCATTGTTCTATCAGGTTCAGGTAGCAACTTGTGGCTCTCCCCTCAGCTCTGCTACCAAGGTGGTACTGTGACCTCTCCAAGGGGTTTTATTCATTCAACAGATGTTTCCTGAGTACCTTCTGTGTGAGGAGCAGGAGGGGTGCATCAAAAGATCCTGACTGGATCCTCAGGGCCAATATGGGTTCTCTCTTTTTCCAAATGGGAAAATTGAGTTCCTGTAGGGTTCCTGGCTTGCCCAAGGACACTTAGTTGTAGTCGGTGAGGACATGGGCTGTCTTTGGGGATTTGAAGCTGGGGCTAGCCTCTTCTTCATCTAGTCCCTACATGTTGAGAGTTGTAGATCAGGCCTGGGCAGGACAGAATCCCCCAAGTGCTGTGACTGTAGGGCACCTGGCCCTGCTTCCTCTCTTCTTTCTGAAGTCCTGGACAGACTATTCCTTCCTTTTCATAGCTTCCTCCGGTGCCTAGACTCTGCAAAGGGTTGTTTGTCACTCCAACCTTCCCTCTGCCCAGTGTTCTCTGCAATCAGCAAGAGCCTTATATGAAGCCCAGGATCTAGCCTGGCATTTACTGGGGAAGAAGCATGGAAATGTCTTTTCATGCTGTAAGATTTCTCTTTTCAGTAAGGAATTTAAAAACCACAGTTTCCTGACTAGGCACAGTGGGAGAAGGGGTGATTTTTAGCAGAATTGTCAGGGTCCTGAGTCCCAAGGGGCTGTTGGCATAAGGAGGACAGGGGCGGTGAAGGAAGAGGTTGGACCAAGATTGAGGAAATGCAAACTAGAACACCATCCCTACTGGTAGCTTTATGCTTTATGAACCTCTCTTTTGGACTGGCCTCTGCCCCGACCCCTTCACCCCAACCCCTCCCTAAAAGAGGAGTTGTAATTATTGTGTCCATAGATCATCTTGCTTTCATGATGTCCTCACTAATATGACAGCTGCTTGACTATTCCATACCCTTTCTGGCTCAAGCTGGTCTCTCTCCTTGGCCTGGTGCCTTCCCACAACTCTCCTCTGTCAATTAAAGTTTGTTCCCTTCATTAAGCAGAGCCCTGGAGGCCCCTCTGACGGAGACAGCATCTCCTTCCCTGCTGTAGCCTAATTAGATGCCACAAAGCCAGCTTCTCTGTGCACTGTGTGAACAGGGCAGGAAATCACCCGAGGGTCACAGGGCTCGTGTGTGTGTGTGTGTGTGTGTGTGTGTGTGTGTGTGTGTGTGTGTGTGTGAGAGAGAGAGAGAGAGAGAGAGAGAGATAAAGCCAGACTCTCCTTTCACTTACAGCTACATTCAAAGTTATCATACGATCATACGCAACAGGACAAGTCTGAGTAAGGCATACAGAATATCAGAAAGGCAAAGCTGGAATTTGAAGGAAGGGCTCCTATATGAAGATCTTCTAGACCTGGGCCTCTAAGGGAGTACCCCTTCATGGAGGAATAAAAAGAAGTGATAAAGTCCCTGCCAAGTGCAAGAGTCTTGGTTGGCCAGGGTGTGTGTGTGTGTGTGTGTGTGTGTGTGTGTGTGTGTGTGTGTGTGTGTGTGTGTGTGTGTGTGTGTGTGTGTGTTTCACTTAAGGCTAGTGCTCTACAACTTGAGCCACAGCTCCATTTCTGGCTTGTTGCTGATAATATTCTCATAGACTTTTCCTGCACAGCCTGGCCTCAAACTGTGAGTTTTAGATTTTAGCCTCCTGAGTAGCCAGGATTACAGGTGTGATAGCAGTGCTCAGCTTGACAAAGGTTTTATGGATCTCACTGAGGTAAGTTCAGAGACATCAAGGCTCTGGGGTGTAGCTGAGGAAGGGCCCAGTAGGTTTCTCCATTCTCTTTATTTTGTATTTTTTCTCTTTGCTTATGTGGTGCTGAGGAATCGAACCCAGGGCCTCAGGCATGCAAGGCAAGTGCTCTACCGCTGAGCCACCTTCCCAGCCCCGGTTTCTCCATTCTCAAAGTTACTGTCCCACTTTTTCTAGCTCCAGCTGGAATCCCTAGTGATCTGAGCCTCTTTTGTAACTTCCCAGCAGGCATGATGCTGGGCTCCTGGTACCCCATCACTGGGTGACCCAGCTCTGCCCTGTGAAGGGTGCTGTCCCCGCCTTCCCCAGCTGCTTCTCTGCTTGCAGCAACGGGATCTAGGCGGCCACACAGTTTCCTCCCTGATCTGTCTCCTGAGGGGCCTGTCCTAGCCTGCCCCTCATAAATAAGGGAACATACGGTTCTTCAGGGGAGGGCTTGTGCCCAGGGCTCTGGGGGTAGCAGTTTTCTCCTGGCACAGGAAGTCCTGAGTAAGAAACCACAGTGTGTTGGAAGTGACGCTGTGGCTCAAGTGGTAGAGAATTAGCCTTGAGCTGAAGAACTGAGGGACAGTGCCCAGGCCCAGAGTTCAACCAACCATCCAACCAACAAAGCAAGCAAACAAAAAAAACAAACTTACAGTGTGGTGGGCATGGGACAGCTAGCACCCTGCAGGGATGTGTGTGTGTGTGTGTGTGTGTGTGTGTGTGAGACTCTGCAGGCCAACAGAGAGTCCAAGACCAAGGGCAACTTGGGCAGACAGAGCATGAAGGGGGCCATGGAGCATGCTGCGTGGTAGGCAGGGAGGCCAGAGAAGGGTTGGCCAGAAAAGAAGCTTCTGGCCCGGGTCCCAGTGCTCAGAGACTATGTTCTTACCATATAGACATCCTCACCATGGCCCATTCCTCCACCACTAGCAAGTTACTGCTGGAACCTAGGGGCAGGATAGGAAGGACAAGGAGATCTCTGCAAGCAGGGCTCTGATAGGTAGGTAGGTAGGTACCAGAGACTCATTTCAGACTAAGGCTCACCACCCATGTCCTGTGTCTGGACTGGGCTACTCATTTGTCAGGTGAAACTGAAGCTTAAGCAGAAAGTACTTTGTTCAGAAGTCTGGACAATGTATAGGGCCTCCTGCCTAGCCTCTCTGTAACCTTGTACCCAGGACATGAGTGCTAGCCCTGCAAAATTTTTTTTTATCAATTCCATACTGGCAGTGGCTCTCTCTGCTAGGCCTTCAGGGGAGAAGAGGGTGGATGGGAGAAGAGAGTAACTTTTGAAGCTCTTAGGAGTAACAGATCTACTGACAATACCATAAAGCTATGTCTAACATATTATTGGAGGGGCAAGAGTGGTCTAGAGGGCTTGGCCTGGTGTTCACCCAAGCCTTGGAAGGTTTTGCCAGAGACAAATGGGATAAGCTACCCAGGTAGGGAACAGCTTTAAGTCCAAGATCATGAAGAGGAAGATGAGGGGTCAGGCAAGCAGCAGGGTTAGGGAACAGCAGGGCACTGATATATATCCCAAGAAGAGTTGGATGAGCCCAAAAGGTTGTGCCAGGTAGGTTTTCTAGATCAGTCAGGTAAGGAATGAATGATCACATGTGTCCATGTTAGAAATCATCCCAGGCTATAGGCATAGCCCGAATAGTAGAGACTTCACTAGTATGTAGGGGCCCTGGCTCCAATGCCCAGTACTGAAATATAAACAGACAAGCAAGCAATCCAGGAGTGGTGGCATATGCCTACAATCCAGCTACCCTAGCGGCAGAAGCAGAGGCAGAGGCAGAAGGAGTTCAAGTGAGAGGCCAGCTGAGAACAGTTGAGATCTTCAAGTGAATTTGAAAATCTTAACTTGTGAGACCCTATGGCTCTGGTGAGGCTAAAAAAAAAATGGAAGAGCTGAGGCCAGGGCTCAAGCAAGAAGTCCTAGGTTCAATCCCCTGTACCACAGAGAAGGAAATCAGCCTCTGCAGGTACTTCTGGGGGGTCAGTGGACCTCCAGAATTATAAAAACTGGGTGTAAAAGGCCACTTTTCTGAAGAAACAGCCAGAATGTCACCAGATTCCGCACTGTAAGCTGACCTAGAGACTTGGGAAGGTACATGTCACAGTTGTTTTGTTCACTGATGTGTCCCAGCCTCTGGAACATAGTTGATACTCAATATGTAAAGGGTAGATAGAGCTATGAATTCACAAAAGAAGCTGATTCCTAGAAAGATGGCCAAGAGTGGGACAGTGGAGGGGGGAGGTCAAGGAAGAAACACGCAGAGCAAGAACGGTGCGGTGCGTTCTGCCAGAGCTATGGTGTTACCTGAAGAGATGGCACGGGGGAGGGTAGTGCCACTCCTTTTGGGGTCAGGGACAGGTGCTGGGAGCAGGGAGGCTGGGGGCAAGGGGAGGGAGATAGTAGGGAGAGGCAATGTCAGGAGTTTGGCTTGGGGCATTTTGAATCCCAAAAGCTTGTCTCCGGACTGGTGACTGGCACTCAGCTGGTAGCATACATCTGGACCTAAGGTGACAAAGTCATTAAATCAGCCAAGAAGGAAAGTGTTCTGGATAAAAGTGGCAAGAGCAATGTTGCCAGGGACTGGACTTTGTGGCTCAATAGTGGAGCATCTGCCTAGCAAAATGTGGAGATCTGGAGTTCAAACTCCAGCGCTACCAGAAAGTTAAAAAAAAAAAAAAAAGAATGAGTTTGCTGAGATGAACAGGCTTAAGTTAGCAGCCAAATGATGGAGTTGGGGGGGAGGTGCCAGGGCTCTAGGAGAGGGATGTATATATGTGTGCCAGGAAGTGGGAGGTGAGTGTGGTGGGGATGGGAGGGTGTGTGTAGGTTGCTTGGGAATATTTGGACAGCAAGGGTAAATTTCTCTCCTGGCTTCTTGGTTTTGGAAGTAGTGGAGAGGTCATTTTCTAAGACAGAGAACAAGAGCCCCGTGAGCTCCAGCTCCAATAACCCATCACCCCTCCTTAGCCTGGAGCAGGTCTTCAAGAGGCAGCAGGAAGGTGGCCTCCCGTGAGCCAGGTGGGCAGCCTGAACTTTCTGCCAGTGTTATAGAATTGGAACACACGGGACTCTCCCCCCACACTCTACCTTCTGACAGTTACAAACCTTTCATCGAGACCAAACCCTCCCTAAATTATTTTCTGCTTTTGCTGCATACAGAGGGGCTTAGTTCTGTCTTTTTCCCAAAGTCAGAGGCTAAGAGAATCAGAGCTAGTCTCTGACCTCCACACCTTCTTCCACGTAGTAAGGTGCAGAGGCAGGGCGTGCATAGCAGACATACAGCCAGCAGGCCTGTGTCGGCTCTCTTTCCATCACTTTCTGTTGTGGGGCAGACAGGAAATCCTCTAAAAGTGCCTTCATTTGCATTTTGGGGGGATGAAGAGAAAAAAATGACATACTAGAAGGTGTGGTTGTAAGTTACCCTAGGGGGTGGGGGCAGAAAAGTCAGGGTGCACTTACTCAGAGAGGAGTGCCACTTAGGCCCAAGGGTTGACAGAGCAAGGGCAGGTAGAATATCTGCAGAGAGAGGTGGGGGGGGGGGCACAGGGGCTGCTCTTGAACTTCCTGGCTTCCCTGGTGCCTGAAGCCCCTGCCTGACCAAACCAAGATGGACACGTGGCCATTGTCCCAGCCTGGAGACTCAAGGGTCACTACCTAGGAGTACAGGTTCACGGTGAAAGGATATACTCAAGATGGGCACTGGTGGCTCACACTTGTAATCCTAGCTACTTAGGAGATTGAGGTCTGAGGATCTCAGAGGTTCAAAACCAGACAGGGAAAGTCCATGAGATTCTTCAATTAACCATCAAAAAGCCAGAAGTGGAGCTGTGGCTCAAGTGGTAGAGCAAGGACAGCCTTGGTCTGATAAGGGTCCCCCCCCCCCCCTGCATACACACACTTACACACAATTCTCAAGTCATAGGAGGAAACTGTCCGAGGTACTGACTCCCCTAACACCAATCAAGCCCATGTTCCCTGTCCCTTTCGCGTGCTCTGTCAAGTGTCAACTCCAAAGGCGTTCTGGAAGCTGGGCCTTTTTTGCCAAAATTGGCAGTTGGAGGGGCTTCTAGATACCACATTAGGTCTTTTTGAGGGAAAGTTTTAGGGACAAGCAAGGACTTCGATTGTTAAAGCTGAGCTTGACAATCAATTGCCTCCAACCGTTTGAAGATGTAAATTGCTTAATTCTTGTCTATGGTCCTCAATGCCTGGAGCTCACATAACCAGTGGAAGCCAGGCAGCCAGGATGGGGTTGGCGTGGCAAGGAAGGGGAGGGTGGAGAAGTGTGGAGCCAGTTCCACATTGAGTCTGGGGCACAGCCCCGTGCTCTGCCAGCTCAGGCCTCTCTTCCAAAGAGAGGGCTGTGGGTGAGATGGAGGACATCACTCACCTGCCATTGCCATACTTGATTCGAATGTCGCGGCTTCGATTCAGTTCCTTGCCATCCTTGAACCAACGGTAAGAAGGCTGGGGGTTCCCTGCTGCTGCCTCACACTTCAGCGATTGTTTCTCACCCACCTGTCCTGTCTGGCTCTTCATCTTCTTCAGCTTGGGCCGAGTGGCTGTGGGTACAAGGCAAATGGATGAGTGTGGCAACGGTACAGGTAGCATGGAGCAAACATGAACAACAGGGTCTCTGGTAGGCCCAGGAGTCACACTCCTGGTGACTTTTCTTTGTTTAATACAACCAGCATTTATAGAATCTGCAGCAAGATCAATGCACTGCTTTTTTTTTTTTGTACCTGGAATGGTACTTGGAGCTTTATAATAACTTGTGAATGTGTGTGTGTGTGTGTGTGCGCGCGCGCGCGTGCGTGCATGTGCCAGTAATAGGGTTTGAACTCAGGGCCTGAGCAATGCCCCATGGGCTTTTTGCTCAAGGCTAGTGCTCTACTCCTTGGGCCACATCTCTACCTTCATTTTTTTTGAGATAAGAATCTCATGGACTTTCCTGCTTGAGCTGTGATCCTCAGCTCTCATTCTCTTAGTAGCTAGGACCACAGGCATAAACCACTGGCTCCTGGTTACATTAACTTCTAAAACCTTCACAATAACCTGGTAAATTCACTGAGGTGTATAAATCCATTTTATCCATGGAGAGATTAAAGCTCAGAAGGTGAAGCTTCTTTCCTAAGGGGACGTGATGAAACTGGGATTCAAGTTCTTGCTCATGACCTCAATATTCCGGACCTAATTCTTGTCCCAAGTTCCTAGGCCTGTGCTGGATGCAGAGGAAATGGGAGGCCCAACATGGTGGACTGAGCTACCACTCCCAGAAAGTGCAGCCCAGCTGGAGAGCTGTAACCATGAATTACCATCATAGCACAGCTCATGGATGCCTGGCAATTTGGGAACCCAAAGGAGCCACCTTAGACCTAGGGTCACTCAGCTCAGAGCTAAAGGATGGGGCTAGAAGGGATAGGAGATGTGCCAGGTAGCAGTTTAGGAAAATCACATATGGTCCAGAGCACCGAGTTGCCCAATGGGTGAGCCTAGCATGGCACAAAGCTGTGAGTCCCAAGCTAAGAGGTTTTCCCCATTTTTTTTCTAGTCCTGGGGCTAGAACTCTGGGCCTGGGCACTGTTCCTGAGCTATTTTTGCTTAAGGCTAGCACTCTACCACTTGAGCCACAGTGCCACTTCTGGATTTTTCTGTGATTTAATTGGCGACAAGAGACTAACAAACTTTCCTTCCTCAGATCTCAGCCCTCTGAGCTAGGATTACAGGCATGAGCCACGGATGCCTGCCTCGTTTCCTATGTCTATATTTTTATAAGCACTATTCTGATTCCATTACCCAGGCTCCAACACACCCTGTGTTCCAACTCCTCACTCTTCTCCCCACCAATTAAAAAAAAAAAAAAGGAAAAGGAAGAGATACGCTGCTGTGAGGAAGATGACGGCAAGTCAGGGTGAGCTGCTGAGGTAAACACAGTTGACCCCAGTGCTGCTCTTTATAGGTCACATAATGCTTTCATCCACACTCTCATTTGGTCCTTGAACTCTGTGAGGCAAGTGTCACGCTCACATTGACTGCAGAAATGAGCCTCAGTGTTCAGAAACTTGACTGAAGCCATTTAACCAGGCAGCTGCAGGGCTGGGACCAAAGCCCAGATGTCTGGATTTGCAAGGTGTCCGACTGCATCCTGAGGACTGCTTTTACAACCACACCTCTCTCTGAACGCTGGAGCCCCTGTACACATCTTCCAGTAGCAGAAGGCAGGGTCTGCTGGGCCAAGGAGGAGCTAGGGGCTCTGGGTCCTGTCTAAGCCATTGGTCCTTCTTTTGGTAGCCCAAAGACTGGCAGTGAGCTAGAAATGGCTCTGAAGGCCATTCAGGGTCTGGCTAGAGACAGAGGGATCCACTTTATACCCTGACAGTTGCTTGCAAGTAGGGAGGAGGGGAAGGGAAGTGCCAGGAACAGAGGGAGCATCACAAGAAAGTCTTATTTAAAAAGATACGGTTTTATATGAAATAACTTTGTGTAGTTTAGAAAATTACAAAAAATATAAATGAATAGAAAGAAGTAAACAAAATCATGCATTATTTCAGTAGTCAGAAATCACACACACACACACACACACACACACACACAAACTATTTTTAAAATATAGCTAGGTGCTGGTGGCTCATGTCTGTAATCCTAGCTACTCAGGAGGCTGAAATCTGATGATCACAGTTTGAAGCCAATCCTGGCAAGAAAGTCCATAAGACTCTTATTTTCAATAAAATAGTCAGAAAAAGCCAGAAGTGGTGCTGTGACCCAAGTGGTAGCAAAAGGAGCTTAGGGACAGTGCTTAGGCCTTGAGTTCAAGCCCCAGGACCAGAAAACAACAACAACAATAATAATAACAACAACAACAACAACAAAAACTGAAATGGGAACCAATAATATGTTTCTTTCATCTTCATGTTAAATATTAATACCACAATTTTCCAAACTGAATTCTGTAAGACATGAGAATCTCAAGACATGAACATAGGTATTAGCAATGTAAAGGGTTTCCTGAGGAAATTGGTTTGAAGAACACGTAGATGAACACTGTTAATGAAGAATCTACATTATGAAGATACCTAGATAAATGAATCTCTAAGTAAAGACTCTAAGACTTTTTTTTAGAATGTTTAATAGCATTTCAGGTGCTGTATGGAAGAAGTTTTATAACATAAAATATATATATATATATAAATGCATTTCATATATATGCATTTCATATATATATATGTTAATAGGTAATATCTTCACATTGGTGGTTTAGCACTTTCTAGGCAAGTGGTCTATGTCTGAGCTGCTCTTCTAGCCCTTTTATGTATGAATTATTTCTGAGATAAAATCTTGCTTTTTTTCCAGGGCCTGTGTCTGTGGTACGTGGGATGATAGAGGCATGTTGCTATGTCTGAACTTCTGTTGAGATGGAAACTTGTAAATGATTTTTGCCCAAGCTGGCCTGGAACTACACCACTCCTGAGTGGCTGAGATGAGAGGCATATGCCATTGTGCCCAGCTATCAGTTGAGAAGGGGGTCTCAGAACTGTGATCCTTCAGATATCAACTCCCTGAGTTAGGCTTATGAGTATGAGCCACCATGCCCAGCTTCTCTCTAATTTTTGGGCACAGCCATTCTGTTGCATTCTAGAAGACAACAGGATAAAAAAAAAATCAGCTTCTTTACTATCCTTTCAGAGATCTTCTATGCATACACAAAACCCCCTGGCATTCAGGCACATATTTTTCCAAAGAATCTTTTTTCATACTTGCATAATATTCCTGTGTAGGTGTATCATGATTTATGTAACTGATTGCGTTAGGAAGCACTCACTCTGGTGCTGTTACAAACAACCCTAGGGGACCACTGTAGTATGGGTAGTCTGACTCTGGACTCATACTGCACATGTTCAAGTTCACATTTTGCAACTTGCTAGTTTGATTATCATCATGCCATTCACTTCATTCTTTTGTGCCTTCACTGATGCATCTGTGAAATACAGATGATAAATAATAGCTCCCGCCTTGTGGGATGAGGGCTGCAAGGATTATATGAGATAATGCATGTGAAGCCTGGCACCCAGAGAGTATTTAATAAAGGTTAGCTCTTATTATTATTATGATCCACAATTATTTCCTAAGGCGATCTTCCTCAAAGTGGAATCACAACGTCAAAGAGTGTCCAATATTCGGAGCTTCGCATGCTGCCAAATTGCCCTCTGGAAAGGCTGCACCAACTCACACTCCCCCTTAGTGAATGACAGGACCTGTTTTTTCCACACCCTCACCATCAGTGAAGTGTTTATCATGTGTTTAATCTCTGCCAATTAGGTAGGCAAAAGATAACGTCTCTTTGTTGTTGTCATTTGCATTTTATTTGATTACTGGTGAGGCTGAACATTTCTCTTAAGTGTATTGGCCCATTGTATTTCTTCCTTTGGAATTGCCTGTTCATGTCTGCAGTCTGTTTTTCTATTGAGTGCTCATCTTAGTGATTTGTAAGAGCTCTTTATAACTATGAAGGCTATTGACCTTTTGCTAGTATGTTTTCTTCCCCCAAGTTATTGGCTTCTCATAGTTTCAAATGCTGCTTGCTTGCTTCCTTCCTTCCTTCCTCCCTGCCTCCTTCCTTTCCCTCCCTTCCTTTCCTCCCTCCTTCCCCCACCCCTTTCACCCACTGCCCCACACAGCTAGGTTATATATGGAGGGCTGTGTGACTGGAGTCCTACCCCAGCACCCTTCCTGAACCTTCATCTGCTCTAGAGTCCCAGTAATGCCTTATCACCTTTCTCAGCCCAAGATGCTGGTGGTAATCACCAGGGAGCTCCAGAAGCTGGATAGGGACCTAAAATATAGCCATGAAGTTGTCAGACGTGTGGGTTTCAGACTCCTTAGGTTTTTTTTTTTTTTAAACTATGAAGTGCAGCAATGTGCATCTTTTATTAGTGTACATCCCGGTGACTGATGACAAATGGGATGCGTCTGCACATCTGGCTTTGTTCGAAGGTTGGTGATCTACTGGACAGTCCACTGGTGACCTCCAGCTATTTCCCTTCTTTGTCTTGATAAATGCAGACACAGACAGTTCTTCTCAGGTTTCAGAACACTCGGTCTCCACACTGGGGTATGTTGCTCTTTTCTTTCTCATTCTTTCTTCTCTTTCTTTCCTTTTTGCGGCAAGATTGGGTCTTGAGCTTGGTACCTGACACTTTGGTAATTGGCTGGCATTCTACCAACTGATCTGAGCCTCCAACCCCAGTGTTGCTCTTTTTTATGGTTCTAACACAGTGACCCCTCACCATGGCCACTGGGCTCTCAGTGAACAGGGCTGGGGAATGCCTGTTGGGGGACAGCAGTGCTCATTCTCTTCTCTGACAGGAGGCCTGGCAAAAGATGGCACACTGAGCCAGTAGCCTCTGCTTCATGGGCTGGGCGTGTCCCCCACAGAGACAGCCAGCAAGTAAGTCTGTCACTCAGAAGGCCTGAGGCTGTCGGAGGATCTGGGGTCACAGTCATTCTCTTTCCTCACGGTAAAGAGGATCAAATTTCAGACCACAACGAGCCCGCCTTATCTAGC